ATTTTTAAGTAAATTTTTATTCTTATTTAAACTTTTGTACTTGAATATAACATATGATTCATAATAGCGAAACTTTGATTTAGGTAAATTAAACTATGCAAACTAAATATATTATATAAATGCACACATGTATTATTCACATGTACTAGTCACATGTAATAATCATTTAACATATAAAATATGATTTTGCTTACAATTAAAGTGTCAAATAGCGCGAAATAAAACATATTGCAGTGAAAAATAGATAAAAATAAAAATTAATTATGTTCAGTTATTCATTTATGAACTTTTCATTTTCTTGATTTAACTGAAATGAACTTATAGGAATTCTGCGAAATGAACGTCAACGTTATCTCTAACATGTGATGATATCGCAAATCAACAATGAATCATTAATGAAAAAATAAAATTTTTATATTTTTTATTATATAATTATATAGCTATTTTTTGTTTTTTTATATTAATTTCTTTGATATTAAAGTTACACGAATTGATAAATAAAAAAATATTTTAGGAACATTATACGATTTATATAATTAATGTTATTATAAAAAGAAAATAATTTTTATTAATTGCATACAAAATATAATAATATAAACTTAATTGAATATAGTAGACAATTTAATAATATAAATTGTAATGATACAAACTAGAATAGAATAGAAATTAAATTTAATTGAAATATCATATAATAGATTCGGAATGATATCGGATTAATAAATATAACAAATGAATGTTTATATGATGCCACCAACTTAACAATTCGTTTACAATTTCTAAATATATATTTTAGCTTACATAGCAAAATAGTAGAAGAGATCATTGAAATATCATACGTTCGGAGAATAAATGGCATTGAACCAATAAATATAGAACTGACTGGTTGTATGATGCCAATAATCAACGTTTAATAATTTGCTTACATGCAGTTTTTAAGTATTTTAGCTTGTATATAAAACTCGAACACAAATTATTTCTATTATATATATATATGAATACATAATTGAAATCTATTTCAAATCCTTGAAGTACGATAATATTAAAAATATTTTTATGTATATCTCCAAAACTAAAATTGTGCGGCATATATAAAAATAATTATTCATAATATTGAATAATATATCTCAAAATATATCTCAAAGATATTGAAATTAATGGAATATGCATTTTTGTACATCATTATTGGTTTTCTTATCGTTATATGTTAAAATGAAATATTAAGTAAAAATTGTACGAGAATGAATTTATTTTATTATAAGCTATAACAATAGAATATTAATGTATATATTTATATCTCTGCATGTAATAATATTTAATTGAAAAGTTAATCTTCGTATTTAACTTTCAATAAATTTCAGTTAAACTAGCACTTATGAATTTATTACGAATAAGTTATAATATAATAAGTTATAATGTCTTTTCTGTATATTTAAGAGCAATATTATTCGTATAGATAAAACTAGAAAGAAATATGTAAGAATATATATGTATATTTACAGATTATATTATATGACTAAAATATATGCATAATCTATTTCCACTTATTTATACTTGATATTTATACTTGAAACATATATATATATATATTTACAAAAGATTCCACTAAAATGAATCACATGAACCAAAATGTATTTAAAATATATATAAATAATTAAAAAATTACTAAATAGAAACGAAAATTCTAATATTCAACAACAATTCTATATACAAAATCAATATTTATTTAATTCTAATTTTACAAGATAACAAGCATTGTTTCATTCATTAAAATAGCATGTAATGCATAATAATTGATCAATTTTAACAATCGATATATGATGAATTAATAATAATTTATTTTATTATAGAAATATATTTACGGATTATTATTATTATTATTACTATTTTGATCAAAATATAATAAATTTTAGTATATAAGTATAAAAATTTAATTTTCATTTTTTAAAAAATGAATAAAATTCTATAGAGATAATATTCTATTCTAAAGAGATATATAAAATTCTATAGATATATAAAGAAATTTAATTCTTTTTCAAAATTCAATCTGATTTTAATCACTAAAGTAATTGTATTTATGTGTATGTATTTCTATCAATGCGAGATAAGAAATATATTTTTTTTAATATATTTAATATGTTAAATATTTTATTGCATTTTTCAAATTACTAAATATAAAGATATAATAATAGTTATATTAAAAAATAAATTAGAAATTAACAAATCGAAAAAATCAGAAAATAGAAAAAAATAAGCATTTAAGCATTTTAAAGTATTGCATTTTCGTATTGCAAAATACTTACCATTAAATTTCCGGAAGAGAGACATTTTATTGCTTATTATGTATTGATCAGTTATGTATTATATTGATCAGTTATATGGGAGCGTCAGATCGATATTTTAAGTTTTTTAAACTAGAAACAGTATTTATTAATAAAATTGACTGCTATTAATAATACTTTTAATCATTATCGATAACTGATCAAAAATATTTTATTCAGTTAATTTAGATAATACCTCAGAATTATAACATCACTGTTAATTAAGATAAATTGGATAAATTGTTTATTAATATTATGTCATTCTTTCGTAAATTCGAAATGCGAAATAACGAGATAATAGATATTTTTTATCTAGTTGACTTCGAAATCGTGTATTTTCCTGAAGACACTGAAAAAAGATACCAGATTATCGCTATATCTGAATTCTATATTTAATACGCAATAATAGAATTATACAAAATTTTATAATAACGCATATTATATACATATAAAATAAAAAATACGACAACAATATATAAATATATCATTATCAGATCTGTTATTTATAATTTCTTGTAATCTAATTAAAATTAATAAGATGATAATGTATAATATACACTTATAAAAAATTTTATCATTTCTATATTATTGTTAATATCATTCTTATAATATTTAGATAATATATTTCATGAATTTATTACATATTATACATACTAAATGTATATATAATTAATAAAATTTATATCTTTATCTAATTAAATATAATATAAAAATTAAATTACATGATAAAAGAAATACTTGAATATTAAATAAAGAATATTTTATTAGAATATATTTTATTATATTGATTTTTAATCATCTTTTAACTTTATAATTATATTATAATTATATATATAGATACAAAAAATAAAAATAATATATGAAATATATTATTGAAAACGATATTAAAAGTTAAAAATTCTGGAATTAAATTACTGTCGATTTTTAATAAAATATTAATAAATTGTAAATAATATGTTGCAAAAATTTAATTTTTTTAATTCAAAGAAAATTACTAAATCCTTGAACTAAAATTTATTTGTAATATTCAAATTACTTATCAAATCTAATTAAGGTTTTTTTTCTATTATCTTATTTTAAATTTTAAGAAAAAATTCAATTCATTAAATTTAATGAAATAATTTTTTTTGTTTATGCAAAAAATTTTATGCAAAAATGTTATTACGATCGAGTATATATCGAAGAATTAAAATATAAATTAATCACAATATTTTATATATATTTTTATAATTAAACAGTTAAAACAGTTTAATTCTTGGAATTTAAAAAGAAAAGAATATTATGTACTAAAACATGATTCAGCAAAATTTTTTTCTTCAAAATTAATATAATTTTTTTAGTTTTAATTGTAAAAATATAAATGTTGAATTATAATCAAAATAAAATTGAAATATTAATATTCAATATATTAATATATAAAAATTTATATTTTATATATTTCTGTCATTTAATAAATTCATATATTAATATATATCGAATAATTTTAATATGAATTCCTAAAAAAAAAAAAGAATAAAAATGTATTTATAAACTATATACTTACATCATTCCTTTCATTTATTGCATGATGTTCAATGAGACTAACCTATTTCCATGTATCTTTTTCAAGATTCAAGATTGTGGAACAAAGAATAATATCCCGCCAATTTGTCGATCAGTACTTAGAAAAATTATCCTTTCTCAATATAGGTTTTATATTAAAATAAAAAATTAAACACTTTTTTACACATCCATATAACGAATTTTGCACAAAATATAATAGAATTATTTATTATTAATAACACTAAATCACAATAAAACGCAATATTGTAGAACGATCAAATTATTATACATAAACCACAAGTGTTACGACAAACGACAAACGTGACTAAAACTTAGTCAGTCACTGAACGGCGCTACCTTTTTTTAGTTTTCAATTCGCGCTTCTTTTCCCCTACCTAATCACCTGTTGAATGTATGAGTATGTACTTACATATATCTATACATATAAATGAACTTAACGGATAAAGATAACCATTCTTTTATTAAATGTTCGCACCATTTCCATGTATCTACATATTGTTCAATATACGTAATCGTGAATGTCAATTAATGAATATTGTTAAATTATATAGATTAAAAAAATAAATTTAATATCAATCAATGATATTTTAGTATTATATTTACATATATATTTTTAGAATTCTATTATCAATTATAAATAAAAACAAAATTATCAATTTTAGAAGAAATGAAAAAATTATAGAAATTGAATAAAATTTTATAAATATTATATATAAAATTTAATGCTTAAGTATATCTTATTTATTTTATATTTTATTAATTACATATATAATACATATTTTACTTGTTTTATTAAAATTACAAAATTNATAAACTATTTTTGTAATTATTTAATATTTATTGACTATTTTACATATACAGTTATATGCTAGTTACAATACATGTATATGTATTTTAAAGCTATTGGAAGACCTTTATGCATTAAACTTACAAATTAAGAAATTTAGCTATTGTTAAAATTTTGAATTATTATTAATATGTTTATCATATAAAATTATATTCATCATATATAATAATATGATCTAATTTATGAAAAAAATAGAAAAAGAAATTCAAATTATAAACTATGTATGTACATATATGAAAATACTAAAATAAAAAATTTTAATTATGTAATAATAGCATAGAAAAATATTTTTAAAATTTTAATCTATTATTCATAACAAACATTTCCAATTTCAATATAAAAGCTTTGATTAGGTTTTCCAATATCTCGTAAGGCCACATCTATAATAGGCAATCTAATAGTTTTATCAGTTTGATATGAAATTATTGTCTTGCCCCATTTTCCATTGTGTGTCTGAAAAAACATTAATATTATAAAAGTTTAATGTTTAAATATTTTGCAAAATTAATTCAAATATTTTAAAACTTACTCTACATTCATCAATTATCATTTCATATCTTAAGCGTTGATTTCCACGTGGTGTTAATTCAGCATCATTCCAAGTTAAAAATTTCATACCCTTTCTATATGTTTTTCTTTCAGTATCAAAATAGCCTATACTATTTTTACAGTGATATGTTATATTTTGATATGCATTTTTTGATAGAAGTTGCAGAAAACCAATTTGATTACTATCTGCTTTATATGTAATCTGAATATTACATATTAAAAATGAAAAATAAAAATAATTTGTTTCATTTATATTTATATTCTTCTTATATAAATTCAATAAAAAGTGTTACCTTCATTCCATTCTCTATTTCACTTAACCAAGTTTCTGGTTGATCAGTGATATGTATAATTTCTGGTGAATGTACTGGATTTGGTAATAAACATGTTGCACGTTTTTTGGCATCACAATACACTAAAATTGCATCTCTTGCATCACCTTCATTGGGATCAATCCAATATTCTCCTAAGATGGAAAGATATTTTTAATAAATATATTAATATTCTGTGAATTATTTAATAATTTTAATTTTAATAAATAATTATTTTACAATTTATGTGAACTAACCAGAAAGTTTATTAGGATAAGCACTATAAAGATCTCTACAAGTTTTGGCTGGTGAATTTTTTTCACCATCTGGTTTTATAAATTTTTGAAATGATGATTTTAGTTGTTTATATGCTTTTTGAATTAGTTCTTGCCTTTCTTGTTCTGTCATGTCTTGACTAAACATTCTAGGTGGTTCATCACCAATTAATGGATCTGGTCCTTTAATTTGGCCTTGTCCTATTCATATAAAGATTAATGTAATGGTTTAATAATTCTAATATTAATTATTTTTATATAAATATTCTTTTCTGATGTATACAGAAATATAATATATAATAATTACCTAGAAGAGCAGCTAAAGAAGCAGCATCATATCCTAATCCAAGTTCACCAGGTGGACCTGGAGGACCTGGTGGACCAGGTGAACCTGGTGGTCCATGACGACCTTCATCTCCTGGAGGACCTTTTGGTCCTGGATTGCCAATTAATCCAATTGGTCCAGGGTTACCATCTCGTCCTGGACTCCCTCTAGGTCCAGGTTCACCATCTTTACCAGGTAGTCCAGGAAGTCCAGGTATTCCTTTCTCTCCTGGTGGACCAGTAGGTCCAGGTAGTCCTTGTAAACCAGTAAATCCTCTATGACCTTTTAAACCTTTTTGTCCTTCTTCACCACGTTCACCTTTAGGGCCTTGTAGTCCAATAGGTCCTGGTTTTCCTCTAAGTCCCTAATTAAAAAAATTAATTTTTCTTTTTATAATATTTATTTTAAAATCATAATAAAAATAAATATTAATATACATAATTTCGAAGTACTATATAAATTATCGCTATATATATCATTAATAGGAATGATAAAAACTAACTTGCTGTCCCTCTACACCTTGTGGTCCTGTTTCTCCTTTTGATCCTCTTTCTCCTGCTGAACCTGGAGGACCTGCTTGACCAGGAGGTCCCTATTTATCAAAATATATATTTTCATTTTACATTATTTTCAATTTATATAATGTGATCATAACTTACAGGTAAACCTGGAGAACCTGGTAATCCCGTTTGACCTACTGCTCCAGGTGGTCCTTTATCTCCAGGACGACCTGCTATTCCAGGTGGTCCAGGTTTACCACTAGATCCTTCTGCTCCAATTTCTCCTGGTGGTCCAGGTGGTCCAATTGGTCCAATTTGCCCTAAAAGTCCAGGTGGACCTTCCGGTCCTGGTTTTCCAGGTACACCAGATTCACCCTATTATATTATATTGATTACAATATAAATAAATTCTAATATATATCTATAATTCAGAATAAAATTGAATAATTATGTTTTATAAAATTAAAATTTTAATCAAACTTACAGGTGCTCCTCGTATTCCTCTAGCACCTATTGGTCCAGAAGGACCTGGTAAACCAGGTAATCCTCTCTCACCAGGAGAACCTTGAGGACCTTGAGGACCAGGAATACCTGGAGGACCTTGAGAACCACTTTCACCTTTGTTTCCATCTGCACCAGGTAAACCTGGATTTCCAATTGGCCCAGGATTTCCAGGTCGTCCTGCTTCTCCAGTATTACCTTTACCACCTGGCAATCCAGATGGTCCTGGTAGTCCTATTGCACCTGGTGGACCCTATAAAAATTTTAAATTATAAAATTAAATTGATATTGCACAAAAAAATTGATATTGTATATCAGCAAAAAAAAAACATACTGGTGCACCAATGTTTCCCGGTACTCCTGGTGGTCCTATAATACCAGGTTCTCCTCTAGCACCTGGTTCACCTCGTATTCCTTTAGATCCAGTCAAACCAATTGAACCTTGTGGTCCAGTTTCACCTGGATTACCTATAAGTTTTATATTAATAGTTTACTTGCTTGTAAAATATAAAATTTGATTTTGAATATTTTTTGTGCATTACATATTATTTATTACCAGGTGGACCAGGATTTCCTTGATCTCCCTTTAAACCTGGATAACCACGATCGCCTTTTAATCCTGGTAAACCAATAAGTCCTTGAGGTCCTGGGAAACCTTGTAATCCTTGAAGTCCTTGAGGTCCTCTTTCTCCTGGATTGCCAGGAGCACCTATCTCTCCTGGAGGACCAGGTAAACCAGGATCACCTCGTTCTGCTGGTTCACCTGGTGGTCCTGGTGGACCAATTTGACCTTGAGGTCCACGTTCTCCAATCCGTCCTATAAAAATATACTAATATATATATTTCTTCAAGATAATAAATACATTTTTTTCTATGATATACAACCTGGAGGTCCTTCAAGACCAATTGGTCCAGTAGGTCCCCTTTCTCCTTTTGGACCAGATTCTCCTGGAGCTCCTCGTAAACCAGGCAATCCTACTAATCCAGATGGTCCTGAAATTCCTTTATCTCCTTTAACTCCAGGTAATCCCTAAAATAGATATTTATTTTATATACATTTTAGATAATTATTAAAATTTTAGTAAATATATGAAGAAATCAAAAGATATATACAGGAGGACCATCTAATCCTTGTACTCCAGGTTCTCCTCTTGGTCCCATTAATCCTGGTCCTCCTGCAGCACCTCTTTCCCCAGGGAAGCCGCGTTCACCTCTATTTCCAGGTATACCTGGTGAACCAGGTGGTCCTTGAACACCTGGTTCTCCATCTTTTCCTGGCGTTCCCGCATTTCCAGTTGCACCTGGAAAACCCTAATTACATCAAATTATGTAATAAAATTATATTGTTTTTTTGTTTATTATTTTTACATATGTTTTAAATATTTTATTTATTAATTTTTTCAAAAATATGTTTCTATATTTTTAATATAAAATATACCTGAAAACCTCTAGGACCTGGAGATCCTGGAGGTCCTCGTTCACCATCTGCTCCTGATGGTCCAGGTGAACCTTGTGGTCCTGGTGCTCCTTCTTTTCCTGTATCACCTCTGGGACCAGATGGTCCAGGATTTCCAGGTTCACCAGCTTTTCCAGGCTCGCCCTTTTAATGAACATAAAAATAATTTTTTTCAGATATCTAATACTAAAGACAAAAATAAAATGATAGATAAATATTATTAATACTGGATATCCTTTTTCTCCTGGAAGACCTAGTGGGCCAGGCAGACCTTGTAAGCCAGGTGGACCTTGTTCTCCAGGTTTTCCATCAGCTCCTTGGATTCCTCGTTCTCCTGGATTACCTGGCTTTCCAGGTGCACCAGGACGACCCATTAATCCACGCGTACCCTATAATATAATGTTATATTTCATATTTTTTAATATAAAAAATTATAAATATATCTAATAAGCCTGTATATATCTAATGTATATATGTCTAATGTATATATGTATACATGTAAACATACATATGTATACATGAATACGAATATTTTTAAAGGAAAGAAAGATAAATTTATTCTAAAAATAGATTTAAAAATCAATAAATAAAAAAAATTAAATTTAGTAATAAAACATATTTTCAAATGTGTATATTTATTAAAACCTGTAATCCAGGTGATCCTGGGCGACCGGGATCTCCTATAGCTCCTTTTGGTCCTATTGGACCAATGGGTCCACGATCTCCAGATTGACCTATAATATAATAATAATAATATAAAATATCATAGTCGTGACAAAATTATCATAACAGTTCTAATAACATACCTTTTGATCCCATTGGTCCATCGGGACCTGGAAGACCTGGTGCTCCTGGTGCTCCACGTTCTCCAGTTGGACCGGGCGTACCGATAGGTCCGCGCATTCCTCTTTTTCCTCGTTTTCCTTCATTTCCAGGAGGTCCAGGTAATCCACGCGGACCTGGAATTCCTGCATCACCCTTAACTCCACTGTCACCTTTAAATCCTCTTTCACCAGGAAATCCCTATATATAAAAAAAGCTGCTTAATGTATTTAATAAATCTTTTACATTCATCTTTTTCTAAATCAAATTTAGATTACATTATCGTTTCATAGATAGAATTTGTAACAATAACATATGAAAATAAAAGAACAATATTTACAGGCATGCCTTTTGCTCCTGGAATACCAGGATTGCCAGATATTCCAGGTTGTCCTCGAGCTCCAGGAAAACCTGGAGCACCAACTAAACCAGATGCTCCTGTACTTCCTTTTTCTCCAGATATTCCATCTTTTCCTTGAGGTCCTTGTGGTCCTGATTCACCAGGTTGACCAGGACGACCAGTTTCACCTATGCATAAAGAAAAAATTTGATTCAGATTCTACATTTATATACATAATTCTTAAATCCTATAAAAAAATTTTATTGAATACTTTGTTAATCATTTCGTTTTCAGATCGTTTGTAGATATACAGATTATAATAAATATTAATTATTTAAAATATGTAAAAAATATGTAAAAAATACCTCGAGGGCCTTGTATGCCTTGACTTCCTTTTGGTCCTTGTGCTCCTTGATCTCCTTTTATACCTGGATTACCCGGAAAACCAGGAGAACCTGGTTTACCTACTGCACCCTACAACAATTATTTTTATATTATATTCACGAGTCTTATATTTATCTTTGTTATTTTACTTACAGGTTGTCCAGGTGGACCAGAAATTCCATCTACTCCTCTAATTCCCGGAGGTCCTGGAGGACCTTCCCTACCTCTTTCACCACGTGGACCTGCAGGACCCTATTATATATTTCATAGATTTTTTTCTTAAAATTTTTCTATACAATAAACTTTCTATTCAGATTAAATAAGAATTAAAATACTAATAAATACTAGTAATAAATAATACTAATAATAAAGAATTAAAATAATTTAATGTATTACTATTTTATATTTATGTTTTAAATATTTTAGAAGCTATAATGCAATAATTTCGATATAATATAATAAATGGAAAGATATAAAAGCAATCTAGCAATATTGAAAGTGTTAAAATATACAAACATTGGTATTCAATACTCACAATAGGACCTACAGGACCCATTGGTCCAGGTGCACCCATAGATCCTTTTTCACCAGATATACCTTGTTCTCCTTTCGCACCATCTAATCCTGGAAAACCGCGATGTCCTTTCATACCAGGAAGACCAGGTAGTCCTGGAAGACCTCTTGGACCGACTGGACCAACTGATCCTGGAGGACCAGGTTCTCCATCTTCACCGGTATTACCCTAATATCAATTTTAATCAACAATTTAACTATTAATTATATATAAATTATATTTTAATTATAATTATTTAATGATTTAATTAATACATACATCTTTTCCAGTTAAACCAGATAATCCTCTTGGACCTGGGGCACCTGGAGGACCTGGAGTTCCAGGTTCGCCAGGTTCTCCTCGTACTCCTTGAAAGCCTTGTGGTCCAGATGGTCCAGGTGGACCTATTATATATTGAAAAGTACTATATAGCCATGTAACAATTAAAATTAAAATATAAATATTTACCTGGTGGACCACGGGGACCAATAGGACCTACTTGTGTTTGTAAATAAGCATCTGGGCTATATAAAGGTGCTGCTGCTCCCGTCGGGCCTTTATCTTGACTTGCTTGAGATAAAGCTAATTGTTGATAATACATTGATACCTATTTATATTAATTTATTATTAATAGAAAATATGTTATAAAATAATTATTCTATAAGCAATATAACATACAATATATTTTATAATACATAGGCACATACAATGATTCATAAAATTTTTATCAAGTATACCATATAAATCTATAATTGGAATTAATATTAATTAATAATGTTAATTATTTACATCAGGTATAGGTCCTGGCGGTCCAGGTGGTCCTGGAATTCCCGGAGTGCCAGGTTGTCCTGGAAATCCAGTATCTCCCGGACGACCAATGTCTCCAGGTCTACCAGGTTCTCCCTAAGTTATGAAAATAATACTTGTTACTGAAATTATTACTTATTATTTTTTTCATAAAAAGAGTATTACTTACTCTTGGTCCAGGTACAGCAACAGCATTAATCATATTACTTTCACCAGGCACAATTTCAGTTGGTAACTAAGAATATAAATAAATTATTATTATACATATTTATAATTTTACATAATATATTTTAAATTTTATATTCGATACTTACTGGATTTCTTTCTGGAGTTGTACGCAGATCATCTCGAACTTCTATTGTGATGTATAATAATATTATATATATATTATATATTTATAATATACAACGCTATTATTAAATTTAATATAGAAGAAAAGAACACTTTAATACAATACAAAAAATGCTTAAAATACAAATATACAAAAATATAAAATAAAGATTAAAAAGAGTGAATCTTATCTATTATTTTTTAGGATTAATAGATAATATATATATATAATTTATAATATATATATATTATCTAATTGATAAAACATGAAAAAATTTTTTGAAACATAAATCAAGACATTCCAAATGAATCAATATTTAGAAAAAGAATTAGTTATATGATTAATCAAATCATTATTTAAAATATTCGTAATAATATTGATAAGAATTACACCTGATACCAAATGAAACAATATATGATATTGTAAGTTGAAAAATGAAAACATACAAAATTAAACAATTATTACAAACAAATCACTTGTTAAATATTATGAATACTTTGATGTAATAATAAAGCCATAATACTACTACCTTTGATAAATATTTATATAACAAATTATTGATATCATTGCATTAATACTACAAACTAATAAAAGATAACTGTAAATGAAAACATAAGTCAAAAGTATATAATAAATATTCATGTTAGATTAAGTTTCATTTTTCAATATGTGCAATATGTTTTTATTATTTTTTGATAGTAAAATTATTCTATTATATAGAAAACTTATTCTTAATTTTCTAAATTAATTAATTAAACATACAAAATTTAATTTTTTAAATGAATTTTTAAAATGGTATGAAAAATATAAATATAATATATAACTGTATTCAAATTTTAATTTTTTTTTTAATTTCTTTATATTTTTAAATATATGTCTTAATTTTGTTATTTTTTTTATTATATATTATTAAATATAACATTTAATGGATTTTACATATTATTTGGGACGTAAATTTTACACAGAACCATCAAATACCTTGAATGAAAGATCGAATTGTTGTTTGTGCTGGTGAATCTGTAGACAATGCTGATCTATAAAAGGTTTGTAATGTTTCTGTCGGTAATCCACCCCTGCCTTTATGCAACATATAATTAAATTAATGTTTTATTTTATAATATTTTGTTTAAATTATTTATTAGGTTTTAATTTAATTATATCTAACTTTATATGTTCCAAGAATTTCATATTTTTTTATCAAAATTGAAATATATAATTTATAATATATAATTTTTAAAAATTATATTACATATGCTTATTATTTTTATATAAATATTTTCCACAGATTATTTCCATCAAATATATATGATATGTATACATACTTGCGGTATTAGACGTAACAGATGATGGTGGTGGAGTAGTTGTAGTTATAGTTTCTAAATATAAAAATATTATTAAAATATTAATCCATGTTTCATTTATATTTAAATTTTCAAATTAAATTTTTAAAATAAAGTTTTATTTAAAAATTATATATAAAAATTCTATTTAATTTTTAACATTCTATTTAATTATAATATCTTTTTTTACTTATCTTAAACATTACTTGTCTTATAATATTTTATAATATGTACATATACTTTATATATGAAATTTATAAATTTGATTTTAATAGAAAATAAATATTAATATTATATATACAAAATATAAATATATATTAAATTATGATAAATGATTTAATATCTTTTAATAAATGTATAGAAAGATAGTAATACCGGAATACATTGAGATGAGTGTCGTTTAATAGAGTGCAATAAAAATTTTAATTGTTAATTTTTATCAATTAACGTAATTGATTAATTGCATTACGCAAAGCACTAAAACAAGCATCCGATTCAAAGCTTCCGGTGTTAGTTAGGTAGTTATTAATATATACTTCCTTTAATTGTTTCGTAAATGATATAAATAATCTGTTATAAGAAATTATATAGATAGTAATTTTACAATATATTATATATATCAATTACTTTTAATTAAAAATATAATTAATTATTAGATTAATCTTATTAATTTTAAAAAATTTATTCTTTGATATTAAATTTAATTCTTTCTATATGAAAATAAGAATCCTTAATGATACAAAAATTATAAAAAAAATATTTATTTAATCTAAATTTTTTGATACAATACTAAAATATAACACAAATAAAAATGCAAAATGGAAATTCATTTCACAAAAAAATGTTTAAATAAATATTACATGATAAAATTTTTACATGCGATATTAATTACAGAATTACCAAATATCAAATAATTGAAAATTATATTTACCATTTCTTTCATCGTAGTCGTCATAACTATCATAGTAATCGTATACATAATCACTGTTCGCAGGTTTTTGAGCTTGCAGTGACTTCGACCGTTGTTTCCTAAGTTTAGTCCGTACAGAGCTAACTTGGGGCAGAAGAAGCTGAACCACGACGAACGCTGCGGCCAGCTGAAGGGCCTTCGGCCCCATGAGCGACTATTGGTTGATAAAATCAGTAATGTGATCCTAGAGCCAACTCGCCTTCGTCTGAAGCTGAGGACAACTAGACATACGACAACTGGCGTATCATCTATTTAGCAGATGCTTTGTAAGGGGAGGTCATCATCCTCCGTTTTACGATCAACATGCAGTCCTCCCACTGTCTTGATCTTCGATGTCATCCCTTCTCTTTGATTCTTTTCCCTCTTTTTTCCCTCTTTGTACTTTTTTTTTCAGTTGAGAAACTTATTCTTCTTATTCTTCTTTTCTTCGCGTATATACCATATGAGGGTGAAAAATAAGTATTACCATGAAAAGTAATGAAATTAAGAAACATTAATTAAATTTATTATTTAAATTTACACTTTTACGTATATATGTTAAAATTTATAAATTTTTGGTGATTTTCGAATTTTTTTAATCATTTTAAAAACATCTTTTCAAAAACAATTTTCAATACAACAAATAAATATGAGAATATAAATATTAATATGATATTAATGCCATTACTTGAAAAGAATATAATTGGATATAGCAATATAAATATATATGAATACATTCTTATATTTTTTTTTATGTACATATATTTCATCCTCATTTTAAAAAATAGAAGAAAGTTAAAAAAGAAGTTATCATTCTTTACCAAGAAATTGCACGTATCTTTTATTACGATAATCGCGCATCACTTATTTTCTGTTATATATCATAAAAATTAAGATAATAAAGATTTTTATTCCTTATAAAAATCATCTAAAATAAAAAAAATTGTTTTAAATAATTTTTATGATTATATAAATAATAAAAGTTTTAATATTCACAAATTTAAATATTCACAATCATAATAATAAAAATAATTAAACAAAATAAAAAATATAAATTTTTCTGTCAAAGTAAAATTTTATATTTTTTATATAATTAATAAATTAGTTATGTCACATAATATCTAATATAAGATTATTACATTAAATACTAATTATTTAAATTATATTAATAATAATATTTAAATTAATTGTACTAATACTATTATAAATATAATAGTATTATTATATTGAAATTTGTCAATTTTTTGATATGGTTATTTTAAATACAATAAGATATATTTAACGGCCTGTATTTGTGATTTGAATATTGCGAAAATGTAAACTAGAATATAAATTAAGCAATGCATCATGTTATTATATTCAGTGTTCTCGTTCAATATAAGTATATAAACATAAAACATATGTATATATATGTATTTCAATAGGCATATTGCGTTAATTATTATCAAGCAACAATATAGTATATAAGTAATAATGTATAAGTTCCACATTAATCGAAATCATAAAATTTTAAGATAATTTTTGTGATTTTATAATATTTTATAAAAAAGATTAATTTAACTATATTTAATTTTAAAAAATCAATATCTTTTTTAATAAAATTATGAATATATATATATATATTTATTTATTAATTTAAAAATCAATCCAAAATAATATAAAATTATATCCAAAAATAATTTTAAAAATTAAATAGTTGGAAATGTATATTTATATACATATTTATATAAATGGTATATTTATATAAAACAATTTCATTATTATAATAAAAATGAATATGTATAATTGATTGACATATTTTATGATCTTTCAGTTTTTATCGATTATAGCTACGATATTATTATCAATACAGATCGCGTCATTTCAACTTAATAAGTTTATTAAACGACAATCATTATTTTGGCCGCATTCCCGGAGCGCGACTTACTTTACAAAGCGTTAACCGTAATAGACTACATTGACCCAAGTCCCTGTATCGTTGCAACCAACTATAAATCAGAGTTGCTACTATTTCTAATATAAGTAGGCCAGTGTAATATTAATCAGTCTCTTGTAATTTTTCACAATGAACATTTGCGATAAATTCTGTCATTTATTTATTTAACACCGAATAATTTTGTTAAGTATTTTTATATCAAATTTATTAATTAATAAATAATTCTGCAATGATGTAATCTTTTATTTTTATAGCGATGACTCAGATATCGATACGATTCATCATACAAAAGAAAAAGGGTTAAATAGGAATTGCAGATCTCGAAATATTAGTTATATTAATGTTATCGCTATTCTGATTAAATTACATAATGTATATAATGAGTTAAATGAAATGAATAATATAATGAGTTAAATGAAAATAAAAATAAAAATTCTTAAATAATTCAATATATGCTACAAAAAAACAGAATCGAATTTTTTTTTAATTAATTAAAATATAACATATATTTTTATATAATATAAATTGTTAACTATTTTTAAAATAATAAATTTAAATATATTAGCAATTTTTTAAAAATAAAATCTTAATTTAATTACGAAATAAAAATTATTCTTCATGCGATATAAGATATTTTTCCAATGAAAGTGTAAATACTAAACTTTCTGGGTATTCTCCAGTGGTCTAAAAATGTAAAACAATACATTGTAATTAATATAAATATATAAATATAAATAATAATTTTTCATAATATATGTAGAAAAGTTTTAAAAAAAAGATGCATATATAATATAAACTTACATCAGAACAAACTCCTATAAGAACATCAGCACATGAATATATCTCACGTTTTAAAGATATTATAATAAATTGCATTTCATTTTTTTTAGAATGTATAAGACGTACAACATTTTTTATATTTATAGTATCTAAAGCTGCATCGATTTCATCTAGTATAAAAAATGGAGCCGGTCTGAAACTATATAATAAATTCTGTTAAAGAAAATTAATTAATTAATTAAGTAATTAATATTAAAAATAAAAGTTAAAATTTAAAATAAATAATTTTTTCACAGATATTGTTTATTAAATCAATAAAAACAATACATTTAAAAATGAATTTATAATAAAATACCTATGAATTGCAAATAAAAAAGCTATTGTGGCAAGTGTCTTTTCTCCACCAGAAAGATTTGAAAATGATTGAAATCGTTTTCCAGGCATTATACAACTATAATTTATACCACTTAGATATGGTTCTTCAAGATTTTCCGGTAAAAGAATAGCTTGAACCGATTCATCTTCCATTAAACACTATAAAATCACATATTTTTTTAATTTTTTTTAATTATATATATAATATGTAATTATATTTTTAATTTGTAATTATTGTTTTAATTACATATATATAATATAAAAATTAAAATTATAATATAGTTAAAATATTAAAATATAAAATTAAAATAATAAATTATGACATTTATTTACCTTATAAATAGAATTTAATTTTGTAGTAATATATTCAAAACAATGTGCAAATCTATTATATCTTTCTTGTTTTACTAATTCAAATTGTTTTTTAATTAAATTAATTTTCTTACGTAGTTCTTGATATTTAAAATTTGTTTCTTTTAATTTTTCAATTGTATGTTCAATTTCTTTATTAGCCTATGATTTATTTTAAATAATATTTTAATAATATTTTATTTTTCATACAAAAATATTATGAATATCCTTCTAATTAACTTTACAAACCTTAAAATTTGGATTTTTTATAGATTCTATTTTATTTTGTAATTTTTCAATTTCTTTCACGAGTTTATTTTTTGAGTTATTAATATTTTCTTCTGTTCGGTTTTTAATATCTTCAGATAATATGTCAAAGTCTATGCGTGAAAGGATTTCTATATCGTGCATTTCTTCACTGTTTAATGAATCAGATATTTCTATATCTTCCAAATTATTTGCGATATTTCCAGATAGAAATGGAATAATAATATTTTCTACCTATTAATGTAGTATAAATATAATTATCTTTAATGATATTATCTTATACAATAAAATTCCCGTATTTGCAATTTTAAATTTAACAACAATTCGACAAAAATAGTACATAAATAAATAATATTAACCGATAAATATTATACAGTTCTCTCTTAGAATTCGTTAATTTAACGATTAGGAATTATATTTAATTGATACTTAATTTTATCATATATTACTTTCAATTTTACCTTACAATTTATCAAGATAGCATAACACTTTGCTTTTTTCTTCTTAATATTTGTTTTAATTATTGTAATTTCCTTTTGAGTACTTATAATTAATTTTGAAATGATACTGATGTTACATCTATACTTATTAACGTTTTCTGTTTCTTTATTAATGTTATTTTTGGCTTCATCATATATATTTTGTAAATTATTTAATTTATTTAATTCATATTTATTATTTTCTGTACATAAAATTGCACTTTGATGCGCTTTTTCTAATTCATTCTTAACTATTTTTACATTTTTTGTCATCTTAAGAATCGCATCTACAAAAAGAAAAAGTTTCATATGAAAAATATCTATAAAATAAAATATTAATATTTGAAAGGATGTATTGTTTAGATTAAATTTATTTTATGAATTTTAAGGTTGAGTTTTGAATTGCTATTTTTTTACTAATAACATAAATTTTTTATCACTAATAAATATTAAAAATAATTTTTTAGTATTAGTCGATACAATTAATTATCCTCGATAAAAAATTATTGAAATATTTTATTATAATAAATTTTATATTTAATAATATTATAATTATATATTAATTTATTATATAATTATATTAAAATTATAAAATATTAAAATAATTATTAATAATATAATATAAGAATATTAAAATATATTTACTTTCTGTATCTCGATTTATCTCAAAATCCAATAAATTTTGAATACGATTATATTGCTCTTCTAATTCTAATTTTCTTTTTGTTTGTTCCTGATGAAATCTAATATAACAAATATTATTGAACATGAAATATGAAAATATATGTTATAAATAAAATATAAATAAATATAAATAAATATATAGCATATATTTAAAATATATTTTTAAATATATATTTACTTTAGATTTCCTTGTTCATATTGACGTATATTCGATATGCCAATATTATTACAAAAATCTTTAAAAATCATATCTTCAATATTCATAATGGATTTTTCTATATTTTGAATTTTTTGATTTTTCTCCATCATAATGTCTTTAATTGATGCTATATTATTCTGGATAATATACCATAAAAAAAGATGCGAATTATTTATATGAATAATATTTAAAATTATTAATATGATAAAAAAATAAATTTATTGCTATTATATAATTTATAACAAATGAAAAAAATGTTAAACTTGATAAAACGAATGCTTACGTTTATTATATCTAGTTCATTTTGAATAACTTCTATTTCATGTTGAAGCGTGATTATTTTATTTTTCTAAAGAAAAATTTAATTATTGAAGAAGAAAATATATACATATAAAATAAAGAAATTAAATATATCATTTTATTAAAAAATACTTACATGATTGTTTAAGTCAGATGTAGAATAGTTTATTCTACTTGTGAAACTCTTAATTTGTATATTTAAAGTATTTATTTCAGATTCACTTTGAGAAATTTTAATTTTTTCTCTTAATTGCTCCATTAATATTACCTAAATAAACTAGAGATTATAAGTATCGTAAAATTAATTTATTAATAAAAAAATGAATATTTGAAAAACCTTTTTTGATTTTAATTGGATTAAGTTTTGCTCATTCCATATTTGAGCTTTTTTTAATAGTTCAACTTCTCCTCCAGAAATAATACCGTCTTTTTTATAATAAGTTCCATCTAATGCAACGCACTATAATATTATAAATTAAATGATATAATTCAATTAGATGATAAGATAGTAACAAATCGGTATGAAATAGCAAAAACGTCGCATAGAAGTAACAAAAAATTTCATAAAAAATAATTAAGTTTTATAAAATTATATTCATTCTTACATTGATTCTATGATATGGATTAATTTCATATGCAAGCATTCTTGCATCTTCTGGTGTTTCACAAACAATGGTATTTTTAGTTACAAATAAAATAGCATTATTAATTTCTGCAAGTTCAAACTTAAGTACATCATATAAAAGTTTTACATTTTTTGGTTCAGTAATTCCACTAAAATAAAGAGTCATGAAAACATTAAATGATAATATATATAGATTTAATGTAGAAATTATATATTTTAAAATATAATTATATAAATAAAAATAAAAAAAAATTTATTTTTCATATTTTGATTATATTAATAATTAATTAATTATCATGAAAATATATAGATATAGCATGAAAAATAATGTACACTTGTTTCGAATTCAAAAAGCTGTTTCAGAATTCAGCTTTTTTTAAACGGAGTGAATTAAGTGTAGAATATTGCATATAATTCAAATACTACTTAAAAGATACATAATCAAAGAATAATTGTTTTTTACTTAATTTAAATCGATAAAATAATTAATTTTTTCAAGTTAGAATCATTTCATTAATTAATTTTATATATAATTATATTATACATCGTACCGTAATATTTCCTTTATTGGTTCTACTTTTAAATTTTCTACTGGTAAAAAAGTTTCAGATCCTATTTGTTGTTCCTTTAAATAATTGATACATTGTATTGCTACTTTATTTGTAGATACAATAATAGAATTACAATATTTTCCTAAAACTTTTGTCATTGCAATATGATACCGAGAATGAATAGGTTTACATAGATTATACAAACGACCATACTGAAATTTAAACATAAATATTTTTTTATTACTTTATAGAGAAAAATATAAATTAATGTAATAATATGAATTTATTATAAATTTTAATGCATACCACACCAGAAAAAAGATTTTGTAAAATTTTAATTGTTTCTGCTTCTTTATTTAAATGCAAAATTGTGAATTTATCTATTTTTGCACAATCAAGCTGTTCACATATATATTGTAATTCTAATTGTATAGTTTCTACATCTTTTTTTTGTTGAGTAATTATATTTTCTAAATTATTTTTTATGTTTATTTTATCAGTTAACATGTCCTGAATTTCCTTCATACATTGTTGAATTTTTTTTATACATTTCTCGGTTTCATCTTTTAAAATAATCTTTTGATTTAATTTTGTTTCTAAATCATATTTTTTTCTATTTTCATTATCTAATTTATTTTGATTTATATTTTGCTCACATTTAAAAGAATTACATGTCTCTACATGTTTTGAACATTTTGTCTCAGATATTTGTTTTAAACGAAAATATTCATTTATCTTGGAAAAAAAATATATAAATTTTATTTTAATGAATTTTTTATAATTTGAACTTAATAATAAAAACATATAAAATATCTACATTTAGATCTAGTAGCAAATTAATATATAAGCATATGATAAACTATTTTTTTATATAATATTCTACAGTAAATTATATATTATATAAAATTATTCTTTAAATATAACTATACTTGTATATCATTGAGTTCAATGCTATCTTGAGATAATAATTGAGTTGTTATATTTTCTTCAAATAGATATTTTGCATGTTCAATTTGTGTTAATTCATTTTTCAATTCTTTTATTGTTTTTATATGAGATTCTCTATATTTTTGTGTTTCTAATAATAATAAATTTGTGGAATTGAGTTTTTGTTCCCAGTATAAAACTTTTTCTTTTGATTCTATTAAATTTGTTTCTTTTTTTCTAACATTATTTTTTACATTTATAAGATTTTGTTCAATATTTTCTATAACTTTATTTGCAATTTCTAATTGCTCTTTTCGTTCTTTTAAAAAACCGCTTTCAATGCTTTTGTTTCTTTCATATTCAATTATTTTAGATTTCGTAATATTCAATGTAATTTCTAGATCTTGAATATCTTTTTGAATATGAAATAATTCAAAAAGATATAATTCTGTTTTATTCTTTAACTAAAAGATAAAATAAATTATTTAAATAATATATCATAAAATTAATTTTTCGATGAAATAATATTTAATTGAAAAAGAGTAATTCAAAAAAATAATACATTCATTAAATAAATTAAATATCATATAATTATGATAAAATATTATATATATATATTCTATATATATATTCTAAATATTTTTAAATTTATTAAAACAATATTACACAAAAACATCTTTTTTAGAAAAAAAGAGATAATTAATTAAAAAAAATTTTATGTAGAAATATAATAATATATATAATATATATAATAATATTATATATAAAAATATATATATAATTATATATAAAAATATTATATATAATATATAAATATAAATATTATATATATATATTATATATAAAAATATAATAATATATATAAAAATATATATTGTATGAAAAAATAAATTCTTGTGGACATGATTATTCTATATATTTAACGCATATATTTTGCGAATATACTCGATAAAATGATTTTTCATTCGTACATAATCTATATTATATGATCTATATATAGTGGTCTAAACAAGCTATTAAACATCTTTTCCAATTATAATATAAAAAATTTTTTTTTCAATTTAAATAATATTAGAAAAATAAAGATTCTTTTTTTTCATTGTTCTTGCATATTATTTCTTTATCATATCTTGTATCATATCTTATAACTTTATAGTAATAGATAGTAAAAAGTATAATTACATATGAATGCAAATATTTGTCATTCATCATTAATTATAAATCAAATTATTTTATTCTATATAAATGTACATTAAATTCACTTTAAAAAGAAAATTTTATAATTTAATAATAATCAATGTAAAATCTTATATATATAATATTATATATATAATTTTATAAATATTATATATATAATCTTATGTAAATAGTGCAACATAATAGTTATTGTAATGTAAATATGTACTTATGCGATACATACATATTGATTATAAAGTTCTTGGTATTTTTCTGTTTCTTCTTTTTGTAACAAATCATATTTTTTTTTTATAAGAAGATCTTTTTTTCTTTTATATATAAATCGAATTTCATTTTCTGCATTAGAAATTTCATTTTTTAACCTATGAGTATATAAAAAATAATATAATAATGATAATATTAATATATAATAACATATGTTTATTTTACCTTTCATATTCTTCTTTTAATTCAATTGAATTACTAATTTCTTCAAATAAATTAGTATATTCTTTTGGTGTTTTTAATATTGTGGAGTCAATAGCTCCTTGAAATATTAAAAAATTTTTGGCTTTAACATTGAGATTAAGTTTTCTTAATTCAGATAAGTATAACTGAACTACAACTACCTTGATTATAACAAAACATATATATTATTTTGTTTGTATTAATATCAAATCAAATAATATTAATAAAAGTAATTATTAAATAAATAATAATATAAATATAAATACAATAATCATATAATTATGTTATAATTAAAAATATTTAAAAAATAATATTTTCATTGTATAAAAAAATATTGTAATATAGTTAAAAAAATATACAATTCAAATTATTAACTATTATTTATTATTTAACTCAATTATGTTATTGATTTAATTATAATTTACATAATTTTTTTAAAATTTAAATTACCTGATCATTAATTTTGTATTCACAAGAAGTATGATATATACTTCTTGTAAAGCTTTTAATACTATTATCTTCAAGAGTAAAAACAGCTGTTACATATGCTCTATATTATAAATAAGAAAAATTAAAAATTTCAGACAAAAAATAATAAGTATTTTAGAAACAATATGCTAAAAAGTTATTTTTCTAATATAAATAATATTATGAATATATAAATTATATTCTTATGAAATTCTAATTCTAATTCTAATCATATATATATTTAAAATTTACTTTGATGAAATATTATTTTATTAATAATATATGTTAAAATCAAAATTTAAAATATAATTTGAAAAAGTAAATATATTAACACCTGTGTGCCATAGGTATTTCTCCATATGCACCATAAATAAGTTCATTAAATTTTTTAACACGCAAGTTTTTAGCTGATTCTCCCATTACAAAACTAATTGCATCCATGATATTTGATTTGCCTAAAATAATAATAATAAATTATTATAGTAGTTTTCATTTTTTAATTTTTTAGGATTAAAAATTTAATTAATTTTACAAAATTATATACATTGTATATATATATATATATATATAAATTAAATTGTTTAATTTTATATTAATAAAAAATAATAATTATAAAATAATTTAAATAAAGATTTTTAATTTCAATTATATATTGTATATTGTACAGTATTTTATGATATTCTTTTTTTGAATCTTAAACGGTTATCGAAAATATAATTAAAAAAAGATAGAGCTTACCAGATCCATTTGCACCTATAATTGCTGTGAAAGGTTTAATAGGCCCAATAATTACTTCTCCCTTAAAAGATTTAAAATTAAAAACTACGATATGGTTCAAATTTACTTGCATTGTAATTTTAACTTTATAAAACACTATAAGTTTAAGCGCCACAACTTTCATAAAAGATACAATATTGCCAACACTAAAATTCAATAATATACTTTATAAATCGAAAAATGCAAAAAAATTATTAAAATTCTTTCTTATTGAAAAGTATTTAATATTAATATTAATTAGCATATAATAAAATAAAAATAAGTTATTTTAAATCGGAAATGTATTTTTTATATTATTCTAAAATACTTATATTATTATTAATTTCATGATTGATAAAATAAGACATATAAATGTCGTAAAAATGTTGTAATAATTATTATAATAATAATTTATAAATTATACTTTTATAATTATATAATAATAAAATAAAAAATAAAATTTGTTAAAAAATTTTAGTAATATATAGTAATATTATATAATATTTTGTATTATTAATAATATATTAATAATTATATTATTAATAATTTTTTATAATATATATATATATATATATTAATGAAATATATATATTATATGATATACAAAACATAAAATATTAATATATAAAATATTAAAATATTATTTTTAAATAATATAAAAATTACTTAATTTTTTTATTACATGATTTATATTATTTTTCAAATAAAAAATATTTTTATATATATTATAAAGGACAAACATTTAAAAACTAATAAACAGTATATTATAATAAAATTTGTTATCCTAGAAAAGTACATGTTTACAAGCTTACAATATAAAAATTATGATTTAATATATGACTTAATTTTATACTTAACTTAAAAATTGACATATTATTTTAATTTCATACATAATTCTATACTTATATAAATAATTTATTATCAAACAACTTTTACATTACTAAAGGCAATTTTTCCTATTTAAATTTAATTTAAATAATAATAAAACTTTGAAAATAATTGAAATATATATTACACTAACTTTTTTTTAAAAAAAAAGAGAAAAAATATTAGTAAAATATTTAATAATCCAATATTTTTTAAAAATCTTTTGACTTCACAATTTCTTTTTGAAGTCTACATAATTCATAAAATATTTTATTAAATTCCGAAATAAGAAATTTAAATATTAAACATAAAATTATTAAATGTAAAATAAAATCATAAAATAAAAAATATAATTGTAATACATAATTGTAATAAATATATCCTATGCATTAATGTGCGTGGGATATGTAGTTAAATCAAGAGTTAATACTTTACTTTCCAGACATTCACCAACCTGTAATTAAGAGAAAAAAATATAACAGTGTTATAATATATGAAAATGCAGTTTTACTCACATCTGGGCAGATACCAATTAATGCATCAGCATGAGAATAAAATTCTTCTTTTAAAGATATGACAATCGTTTGTAAAGAACTTGTTTTATCACGTATGTAACTAGCTACTTTTCCTATATTAGTATTATCCAATGCAGCATCAATTTCATCCAAAACAAAAAATGGTGCAGGTTGAAAACTATAGATAGTATGTAAAATTATATATTAGAATTAATTTATATTTATATTTATATTTATGTTATAATATATTAATAAAAAATAACATATATTTACACTTAAATATATTAACAAAAATAAATTACAAATAAGAAATTAGTATAAGATAAAAAATTAATAATTAAATTTTAGTGGATTACCTATGAATTGCAAATAATAGTGCTAATGCTGCAACAGTTTTCTCCCCACCAGATAAATTAGACATTGGTTGAAATCGTTTTCCAGGTGCTACACAATTATAATTAATACCATCTAAATAAGGTTCTTCTGGATTTTCTGGTCCAAGAAATGCTTGAGCAGATTGATTCTTTGCTAAACTCTAAAATAATATAAATATTTATATACTATTTTTTATCATATGTGTATCATATATTTTTAACAAACCTTATAAATTGGATCAATTTCATTAGCTACATGTTCAAAACAAGCCATAAATCTATCGTGTCTTTCTTTTTTTATTTTTTCAAATTGTGTTTTTGCCTTTTTTGCTTTTTTACGAGATTGTTCAAATTCTTCATTAGTTTCTTGTAATTTCTCTTTAGCAAGATATAATTTTTGAATTGCCTGAAAAAAATTAAAATTTTAACAATATTTATAACTATTATGATATTTGTATATCCTTATATTATCTTAATAAAACGAAATAAATTGATTGTTATAAAATATATTTCTAATATTTTACAATTATTTTTTACCTTCATATTGGGAGCTTGAATACGTTGAATAGTACTTTGTAAATCATTAATTATTTTTGTCAATTTGTCAGTAGTTTTTTTAATATCTTCTTCTTCTATATCCTTCAAATTTTCAGGAAGAAGAGCATAATCTATAGTTATTCGTTTTTCACGTTCATATTGTTGTTGAGTATTTAAAGATGAATCATTGTTAGTGTCTGAAGTATTAGTTGTACTAGTTTCACTAGCAATATCTTCCATATTTCCATGAAGCATTGGTATTGCAATGTCTTCCATCTATATAATATTACATAATTATTTGAACAATCTTTGAAAAAATTCATAAATTGATTAATTCAATTTTCAATATACCTTGCATTGCATTAAAATAGCATGACGTTCAGCTTTCTTTTGTTCAATTTTAGTTTCAATAGCATTCAATTGTTTTTGAGCAGCTTGTATATCTTTTGCTATTGCTCCAACTTCACGTCTAGCTTTGCCTATTTCATCTTCTTTTTGATCAACTTCCATTTTTTTTGCATTTCGTGCCGATTTCAATTGTTCCATCTGAGTTTCATCATGATCTATTTCTGCTTTTTGATTAGATTCAGTTTGTCGGGCAGACTCAAGTTTATCTTCAGCATCTTGTACGGCACGTTCCCATCGTAAAACATTACCTAAATTTTATATAATATATAAAATTAATATTTTATATAAATTAATAGATTATGAGTAATTTTTTAAATATATTATTATATATTTTTTAATATATTACATTTTCTAAAAATATATAGAGAAGAATTTTAATTCTACTTACTTTCCGTATCACGTTGTTTCTCAAAATCTAATTGATTATAAATACGATTACATTGATTTTCAAATTCCATTCTCTTTTTTGCTCTTTCTTGTTGTGAACTAAAAATATAATTATAAAAAATAATAGTTTTATTCAATATAATTAAATTTAATTTTATAGATAATTTTTTACTAGAAACTTCGCTAAAAATATTACACATACCGTAATTCTCTTTCCTCATATTGTCGAATGTTGGATACACCTATTTGTTCACAGAAGCTAGCAAATACATCATCTTCAACATTATTCATTTTTTCTTTGATGTTTTGTATTTCTTGATCTCTTTCAGCCATAGTTTTTTCAATTGCAGCTATTGCTGGCTGTATACAAAAATACTAATTTAATATTTTAAAAGTTTTTACATAAGTATAAAAAAATAAATACAAAAAAAATCTACGTACACCAAACATATTTAATTCATTCTGAAGAGCATCTAATTCTGTTTCTAATTCTGCAATTTGTTTTTGCTGTAATAAATATAATTTCATAATCATATATTTATATAAAAGAAATTTTTATTAAATTATTGATAGATTTTTTAAAGATATTATTATTACTACATTATTATTATTATTATAATATGATATATAAATTATATTTACCGTAGCAGCCAAATCGCTTTTATTATATTTTAAACGTGTTTCCAATCCTCGTATTTGAGATTCAACTGTATTTAATTCTGATTCTTTTCGTGATTTTTTCAATGATTCACGCAATTCTTCTGTTAATTTTTCCTACAAATTTATTTAATATTTACAATTATATTTATATTACTATGATACAATTTTATATAAAATAAAATATATGTAAACTGTACATGAAATTAATATCTTACTTTCTGTGCTTTTAATTGAGACATTTGTTTTTCATCCCATCTTTTTGCTTTTTTTGCAAGATCTAAACTACCACCAGATATTATTCCGGCTTTTTGATAAAATGTTCCATCTAATGCAACACACTGTAATTATACATGTATATATTATTTAATTATTATAATTCTTAAAAAAATATCCTTATAAAATAGCATACATACATCATATCTTGCTTTTTTATCCATTTCATAAGCTACTTTATTTGCATCTTCAGGTGTTTCACATACAAGTGCATTGTTTGTAGCAAATAATACAGCTCTATCAATATCTTTGGGTGAAAAATGTAATACATCATATAATAATTTTACATTTTTAGGTTCTTGAATATTTCTGAAAAAAAAAAAAAAAAAAAATTGAAATTATATAATAAAACATTATAATCTTTATAATATAGAAATAAAAACAATATTTTATACATATATATATTCTCCTTATATATATGTATTCTTTCTCTCTCTCTCTCTCTCTATATATATATATATATATATACATATATATATACATATATAATTATATAATTATTATTATATATATATTATTATATATTATTATATATAATATTATTATATATAATTATTATTTAAAATAGAAATAATATTAAATAAATTTTTAAATAAGTTATATAAAAAATATTATTTAATTAATTTCTAAAATTAATAATTTTTACTTACATACCTAAGTCTTTCTTTTAATGGTTTTGCTTGAATGTAATCAAGAGGGAGAAATGTTTCTGGTTCAAGATATTGCTCTTTAAGATATTGAATACATTGTCTAGCTGTTTTTTCAGTATCAACAACAATAGCTTCCATATATTTTCCAAGAACTTTTGTAATTGCAACATTATATCTTTTGTGAATAGGTTCACACATATTGTACATACGATCATACTAAGAAATAATTATAATTAATAATAATTATATGCTAAATATTGTTAAATTAATATAAAATAAAATATATTAAATAGTATTTTAAAAAATTAATAAAATATTAAATCTAATTTAAGCTTACCACTCCAGGAAAAAGGCGTTTAAAATTTTCCACAATCTCGGTTTTTTTTTTAGTTCTTGATACTTCATGTTTGTCAACTTTTGCATCACCTAGTTGTTCAGAAATACTTTCTAATTCTCGCTGTAAATTTTGTATTTTATCTTTTGATGTACCAACATCAGATTGTAAATCGGCTCGTAACTTTTTCTGATCTTCTAAGGCAGCTTCTGATGTTCTTATATGCTCTTCTAATTTTTCCACTCTTTTAAGAGCTTCATCTCGCATATGACCTTTTTGTTTATGTTTATTTTCTATTTCTGTCTTCTTTCTTCCTTCATTATCAAGTCTATCTTGATCTGATTTTTGTTCTCGATTAATAGAATCAAGAAGTTGTAAATATCTTGCTGATTGTTTACCTGCTTCTTCCTTCAAGCGATTATATTCTCTAACCTTGAATTAATTTTATATTTATTGTGATTTTTATCCTCAAATAAATATTTAAATATATATCTTATGAATATAACTATAAAAGTTAAATTAATTACATATCATTATAATATAATATTAAAAATGTAATATATAATATTATTTCAAAGTAAATTATTTTATAAAATATAATATAATATATAATATTATCATTAAATTAATTTTATTTAATCTTTTTCTAACCTGTTCATCTTCAAGTTGCACATCTCTTCCTTGTAATTGTGATTGACCAGCAATACTTGCTTCATAAGCTGCTTTAGCTTCTTCAACTTGTCGTAATTCTTCTTGAAGTTCATGTATGTCTTTCTTATGAGCTTCATCTGCAATACGTGCTTGAGCTAATGATTTTCTAGCTGATTCTACTTTTTTCTGCATATGTGCAACACGTTCTTTTGCTTTAATAAATGTGGGTCTTTTTTTTGTTATTTCAACTTCTACTTCTCTAATATCCTGCTCTATTTTAGCAAGATCTCTTCCCAATTTTCCAGCTTCTTTCTTTTTTTCTTTTAATAATTCCTCTGCTTTTTCTTTTTTCTTTTCAATTTTTTCTATTTCATGTTGTTTTTTCTTTTGTAAAACTTCTAAGTTCTCTGTACTTTTTTCATTATGAAATGAACGAAATAGTTGAAGTTCTACTTGTTTCTCTATCTATAAATAAAAAAATTATGATTTATATTTATAAATTACATTTAATAAAATGAATAAACAAATAAATAATTTATATATTTTACATATTCTTCTTTTAAACGTTGATACTTTTCAGCTTCTTCTTTTTCAAGTTTTGCTTCTTTCCGTTCTGCAGCAATACCTTTCTTTTTTTGATATGAAAATTGAGTTTCTTCTTCTGCTTTTAACATTTCTGTTCTTAGTCTATAAAATAAAAAATATCATATATATTCTAAAAAACTTATATAGATATATAATTTACCTTTCGTATTCTGCCTTTAATGCTCCAGAATTACTAATTTCTTCAAAAAGTGCAGTACGTTCTTTTGGATTTTTCATAGCTATTGATTCAACAGCTCCTTGAAATACCAGAAAATTTTTTGCTTTAACATTAATACCGAGTTGTTCCAGTTCATTAAGATAAACTTGGCTAGTAACAACCTATATAAAAAAAATTGATAAATTTTCTTTAAATTTATAATTAAAATATAATTTAAAAAGATATAAACGTACATTATTATTTATTCTATGTTCTGAAGAAGATCCTTGAACAGAACGCATAAAACTTTTTTCAGTACCATCTTCTAATTCAAACACAGCAGTTACAGATGCACTGTAATTTATAATTACAAAAAATATTGAAAAATATAGATTTTTTATTAAAATTGAATTTAAAAAATAAATTAATAAATAGAAGAAAGAATAACAATATATTTTGCATTGATAAATAATTTATAATAAAATATATAATTATATTTTATAATTATAATTACATTATTCAATAATTCAAAGTAATTGAAAAATTAAAAGAAATTGATTTCAAATTCAAAATATTTTTAAAATAAAAATATATGATGAAAATCATATGTAATGGAAAATTATTTATATAAATTAATTAAAAATTAATATAAAATATTAAAATATCACATATTATATTAATTTTTCAATAAAATTTAAATATTATATTAAAATAATATATATTTCTAAAATAACACAAAAAAATTCACAGATACCTTCGAGCAACTGGCATCCCTATTGAAGCTCCATGTATTAATTCACTAAACCGTTTTACTCGTAAACTACTTGTTTTTTCTCCCATAACAAAACTAATTGCGTCCATAAAATTTGATTTTCCTATATTAAAAAGATATATATATAATATATAATAAATGTAAAATTATTAGAATTGCTTATACTATTCTAACATAACCTACCAGAACCATTTGGACCAACGACAGCGGTAAATGATTTTAAAGGTCCTATAATAAGCTTTCCTTTATAAGATTTGAAGTTTTCCACTTCAATATGCTTTAAAAAAGCCGGCATTTTTAAAAATATGAAAAAAAATTCACAAATAACAGCAAAGTGGCATAATTGGCGCCATAAAGTTTCCAACACAAACAAGCATTATACATCAACAATTGGTTTTTCGACTGTTATGAAGCTAGTAACATATATAACATATATGTTGTTAACTTCATTCATTAAAAATTATAAATATTTAATTATAAATTTGTAAATATATAATTTTATGCACAATAGTTTTTTTTATTTATCTTTTAGCATCTAAATGAAATATAAAATATTTATTATATATTTTAGAAATATTAATAGATTATAAGAACATATAAAAACAAAATACTAAATTAAATAAATAAAAAATACTAAACTAAATTAATACTAAATTTATAATTTGAAAAATGATTTACAGAATTTTATCAAAAAATAAAAAGAATTAATAATTTTTTTTTTATAATGAAAAACTACAAGTGTCGAATTATATACATTATACATACATTATAATATATATAAGTGTAATATATTAATTATTTAATAATGTATTTTATATAATATTTTTCAATATAAAAAAAAATTATATATATTTTTCAATATAAAATAAATTACAGAAAAACATAATATAATTAAAAATTTATAAACAATAGAAACATTAAATGAAAGACATTATATAAAATTTTTGAGATATAATATTTTATTGCATAAATTATAATACTACAATTTTTTTTTAAATGAAAAGTAAATATTAAAGATTAAAATAGTCAATTTACAATTTTTTAAGTTTGTCATATAATATTCATTAATATGCATTTTATAATTTAATATTTTCTACCAAAGAACAAGAAAGACCTGTATTATCAGGTTCAATATTTAACTCTGTAATTATTCCATCATCAAGAACCATTGAGTATCGTTTACTTCTTTTTCCACCCAGAACTGGTAAATCTATAGATAATTCTAACGCATCTGTAAATTGACCTGCAGGATCTGCCAACATACGTACCTATGTGAAAAAACAGAATATTTAGATTATAATGTATGTTGCTTATAAAAAATATATACATATAATTAATATATACATATAAATATATACATGTAAATATATACATATATCTAATATTACCTTGCCTTCTGCACCTTGTGCTTTACCCCATGCTGCCATTACAAATGGGTCATTTACAGAAATACAAAAAATTTCTGAAATTCCTTTAGATTTTAAATCTGAAGCTTTTTGTATATAACCAGGAAGATGTGTCTAAAATAATATTAAATCTTATATCAGTATTTTATATAAATAAATTTTATTTTTTTGTTGAAATAAATTAAACTTGTACTATTTTACTATCACTTTTCATCATATTTATAAGCAAAATAAAAATTCATTCAAAAATTTATAATCTATAAAGAATAATTTAAGAATAATCATACCTTTGAACATCCTGGTGTAAAAGCTCCTGGTACTCCAAAAACTATGACTTTTTTTCCATTGGAAATTTTAGCAAGATTCACTTTATTTGTTGGAGAATCTTCAAAAAGTTCAATTGTGGGTATTTTTTCACCTACCTAAGTTTATTAAAATTAAATTTATTAAGATAACTTAAAAAATATATATTTAATTTTTATCAATTTATAAATAATGAATAAATGAGATTATTATGATTATTTTATCATTATTTTATTATTATTTATCATAAAACTTACGATAACCATGTTTTGAGATGATATTCGAAATTGTCTTATAAAATAACCAAATGAATGTCGTCCACAAAAAAAAATTGTACGATTTATAAGAGAATTCATCTGCATATATAATTAATACCGTAAACCAAATAATCAACTATTTTTCATAAAATACAATTTAAAAGAAATTGCTTAATTAGAACACTATTGGGAATTGACTAAATGAATATATGTTATTGCGCAATCTTTTCTATTTATTACATAAATATAATTATTCTTTTTTGGTTATATATTTTCATTTTTCATACTTATTTCAATTATGTAGTATAAATTATTCAAAAATATTAATATGTCAGTTAATTTTAAAAACAAATATTCATAATTTTTTTGCCTATCGTATAAAATAAGATTAGTTTTCTAATTGAATCGATATAATTTTATAAAATATGTCACAAAAGAATTTTTTATTGCGAATCACAATTAAAACATATAAATCATAACGAAATTTTATGAAAAATATGATTATTAAATAGTTATTTCAAATAAAAACACTATAAACTATATAAATATTTTTAAAATTTAAATATTCCCGCATAAAAATTTTATATAGATTTAATTAGAGAAAAACTTTTTTTTATCAATTTCTATTAATTACTTTTTATTGTATATATCGTTATTTTATGATATTATTTTAAGGATAATTTTCAAAGCACGATAATAATTTCCTATAATAAAATATATTTTTATTTTATATTATTTTATATTATTAGAAATTATAAATTCATAATAAATATTTTATATTTTTATTAATATTTTATATCTATTATTATAATTAAATTTTCAATTATAACAAAAATAAAAATAAAATAATTTTGATTAAACGCAAAATTAAGCTGCAATTATTTTGAGCTATAATGTGGTGCACTCTGTAGGTAATAAATCAAACTTACGTGTGTCTAGTAAGTAAATAGAATACTTGATATTTTATGATTTTTATTTAAATTTTTAATAAACTATATAATAGCTAATTATTTAACAAGATTTTTTAATTTATAATATACATATATTATAAACTGATGTTTAAAAAATAAATAAATTTTTGTTTTAAATTTAATAAATAATATTTATACTGATATTTATATAAGTTGTTCGATATGAAAAAATTTGGTCATTTTTATACATATTATTTATAAAATTTTTTTATATTTTAAAATAATTATTAATAGTTCTTATAAAAAATATTTATAATTTATAAAATTTCGCTATATATTTATAATAATATTAGCTTAATTAAACAACTCTATTAAATAGAATTAAAAGAATAGATGTACTTATTATAATAAAAAAAAAGTTGCAAACGATTCATCGGAATGTAAATGATTTGAAAAAACGTAGGTATTGAAGAATCGGCGCAAGTCTATAGATACGGTAATATGAGCCAAATTTTTGAAGTGAAAGGGTCGAAGAATCGGAAAGAGAATTACTTTGAGAGTACGCAGAGCATAGAGGTTGGAATTGAATACGACATTGCTAGGTGGAACTATATACGTCCGGGTCATTAAAAGCGGTACTTCTGAACCCTACAGATACCGTCATCACAATGCATTGCACTGTGAATAATATGCTCTATTTACAAATTAAAATATCCGATTTCAAAATATTCCACGGTATTTAATCAATATTGGCCCCATCTGCATTTTACTTGGTCTTTATATTTTTTTTGTAAATGTCATAATAGATTTTTTATCTTATTTTTTTATCTTATATTAGTTTAAAAATGTTTTGTATTGATAATATTGGGAGTTAATAAATTAGCAAATAAATAAAATAACTATTTTCAGTAATAAATAAAATAACTATCATGTAAAAAATATACGAAAATTTTAAGTTAAATTTTTTAAAACAATTTTTTTTTTATAAAAAATATCTATTGATATTTTCCAAGTAAAGAAAAATCATAAATCTTTTTAACCTTTTTAAAAATTGTTTCATGCGCATTCTTCAAGTGCAAAAAACGGTACTTCGAGAAAAAATAGAGTTGAAAAGTCAATTTTTTTAAGTAACGGATTTTTTTAGGTTTACGATAGCATTGTTTATTTTCGAATAAACATTGGATTTGAAGTTTAAAATGTTCTCGTCGTCACGTAAATTTTTTGTGTAATAAAACAAAATTTAGCTAAACAAAAAAATTATTTACTATTTTATTTTCTTTTCTCAAAAAAATATATATAAAAAATTGGTATTATAAATTATTTTTCCGCTACTTTTTTTAACGGTACCTTCTAATGACAAAAAACTAATCCCACTATCCTTCCCGTAGTAACGGAAAAAACTGGACTTTTTTAGCCAGTCAATTTTTACCGATATATAAAAAATGATAAAAAAAAGAGATATTTATATTGTAATTTTAATTTTTTCATTAGAATATCAATTTTTTCCTAATAATAGTTTTTAAATTAAAGATTTTTTTTAAGAAAAATGAATTTAATCACATTATTTATAATTATTGCTTTATTAAATTTTTACTATTTGTTTAATTATATGTTCTTTTTACATTCGATTAATTAATAAATTTATTTATTATAATAAACAATTAATTAATAAATTTATGCATTAAAAGTAAAAAAATTAGAATAGATATTTTTTGTATTCGTTTTTTTTTTATAATAAAAATTACAAGCAAGATAAATGAATAAGAAATATACATAATTATTTTAAAAAATTTTCTATGTCTCGACTGGAGCACAAATTACAGGGCATCATGTAAGTAGAAACCGATAATATCACATTCCATTGTCATTTTGTAGAGGTAACACAATATAAACGCAGACAACCAGATTCTCGTTAAGTATGGCCCGAAGGCTCTAATTAAAATAATAAACGGAAAATTCCGAGTTTCCATCATTTATGGAAAGTTCTGTTTCCAGTGTATTCTCGCAAACGCGATTTCCTACAGATAAATGGACAGGAATGCTGCTTTCGCCTCCGCCTCTGTATACATATAAATGTTTCTATATTACATCACGAAATTGCCTCGACGTAAGAGACATGGATATTCTAATTTCAAATTAATACAAAATTGATAAAATATAACGATGTTAAAAAAAGAATAAATAATAGATAAATTAAAAAAAAAACGTATTTTATTATTCATATAAGAACAAAAATAAGAAGAAAAAAACATAAATTAATCAAATTGATCTTTAATAAATAGAAAAAGAAATGGAAATAAAAGGAAATGAAAATTGGAAAATTACAAAAAATGATTAGAGAAATATATAATAAAGAGATTTAGATCCAGAGAAATTGAAAATAATAATAAAGAGAAAATAAGGATGGAGGAAGGGGAAGAGGGAGACAAAGAGACAGGGTAGGAAAGTAGGTGTAGAGAATGAGGGAATAGGGAAGGGACTAACCGCGAAGAGGAGTTGGCGTTTTCATCGAAAAGGAAGGTTAGTTCTAGCGTCTCGTTACAGCGGTTGGTTGCTGAAAGCGTGGATGACGCGGAAGTGGTATGAGGCGGCGGCGGGTGAAAATTCCCGGAGGGTGAAGCGGTCCTGCCGTGTTTTTCGCCGATTGAATCAATTAAAGAGGAAAAACTCCCGGGGTAAAATATTCGAGACGTGTCCTTTCAGTCTTGTACCGCGAATACGTGCGTGCTCGTATGTCCGTACCAATCGAGACGCCGACATGATGGTTCGCCTTCGGAATTACTGGACCTATAGTGGACTTTGAACAATTACTTCTCTTTTCCTCTTCCTTTTCCTTTTATTTTCTTTCTCTTCTCTCCTTTTGACCACCTCTTCGGAAAATAAGAAAAAAACGGTCCAATTGTTTGAAAATGTTACATTTGAATAACTATACGAGTTTGTAACGATACATTTTTCTTTGACAATAATGTAAAACTTTTAGCGATAAAATTTTAATTGAGTTAGAAATCAGTGTAAACTAAAAATAAAATGATTTAATCATTATGATAAGAAAATGCAATTTTTTTTGGCATTATTGAATGATTTTATAATAATTTTTAAAATTATTATAAAATATTTCAAATATTAATTATCTATTGATTTTACTTTAATGACATAAAATATAAAAAATAAACAATTTTTTCAACAAAGTTAATTATATTGTTTTATATATTATAAGAAAGTTGCATTTTTTTTTCTGTTTTCAACAAAAGCAAGTAAATAAATATATTTTATTGTGTAAATTATAACATAATGATTAAAGTAATAAGATAAGAGATATAAATAATATAAAAGTATAGCTTAAAGAAAAGAGGAAATAAAAGAGATTGTAAGACAGTGTCAGGCAACAGAGTTTAATCTCTTAATTACCGAGAAATAATTTCATGCTGGTATGCTAAAGTCGTTGCAAAGATTAATGGTAACAGTACACTGATAAATCTTCCATCCGGCTTGTTTGTTAAATAATATCATCGTTACCCAGATACAAGATTGTGAACAGTTTCTCTTGTTTCATCTGCATACATGTGACTATTCTCAAATATCTTTTCGTGGTAGGTATATAAAGGCAGATGCAATAAAAAATCTTGGAAATTTCATGAAATTTAATATTTAATAGTAAAACATTCTATCGATTTAAAATATGAAAATGTGAATATGTCGCAAGAAATAATATAAATAAATCTTTTTAAATTATTGATGTTATAAAGATAAAACAAGATTGATAGAGAAAGATGAGGAAGGGAGGGGGGGAGGGGGATAAATAAAAATCCAAAATTGGATATATGGCTCAAATGAATGGGAATTGTTCTATTGTAAGATAAGAATTATGACATCTAGCATGATTCGAATGAATCTCAAGAGATTATGTGATTAGTTTCAGATAGAAAATGTTGTAATTTTGTTTATAGAGATTAAAAATTTCAAATTTAAAAGTTTCAATGTTTTATTGGTAAAATAATTGTTTTATATCATTTGCATTTAAAATTTATATATGCAAATAAAATCTACTAAAATATAAAGTGTATTGATTTTATATTCTATAGTTCTTAAACATTTTTGATGTAATTTGTATATTTTTCTAATGCATATTGAAATATAAATATTTAATGTTTAGTAAATTGTACAAAACTAGATATTTGATTATGGAGCAAAATTGAATATTCAATTAAATTTTTTTTTCTTATCATTGAAACCAAATGTTATTTTTTTTTTATGATTTTTATAATATATGTTTGGTAAATCATAATATATATAAATATTTAAATTAATAAAATAAGATAAAAATCGATAATCACATCGAATCATCGAAATAAATTAAATAATATAAATAATAATGATTTTTTTATAGCAATAATTCAATATAAGTAATATCAAATTCGATATTATAATTCTTCTCATTCAAATTCTAATTTATTTGCGATTTCTATTTAAAAAATCTATTAAGCAGCACAATAAATTGTAGTATTTTTATTTAATCTTTTTTGTTTCATATAATTTTTTATGCTAATATAATATAATTATTTATATTTTTATTTTTTATTAACTTTGACATATAAATATTTAATATTCGTTAAATTGTTTCAAAGTTAAAATTGATATTGGAAGAAAATACGATATTAGTAAATATAGTTTTAATAAAAATTTTAGTGAAAATTTTGAATTATATCATTTTTTAAATAAATTGAAATATTTTAAATTAAAATAGGTTAAAATAGATTAAAAAAATTTGTCAATAAGTTTTGAAATAGAAATTAATATAATTATATATAATTTTTGAAAAAATTAATTTTATATAAAATAAATACCTGTATAGCGGAAATAAAAATATTAAAGATAATTTAATATAACATCCACATAATTTATTTACATAACATTTAATCTAAAAATACAATAAGTTTATATTTTTCTTTTTATACATTAAATAATTAATATCTATATCGGAAATCAATAATAAATCTATGTGCCTTAGAAAAATCCCCAGACAAATACTCACGCCATCTAGTTATATACTATCATTATTAAAAAAAAATCTATGGATTTATACATGTAAGTATATACATGGTATTGGGTATATTATTAAATATTTTTTGAACACATAAATCTAATAATTGAAATTGAATATTTAATTTAATTTAATTATTTTATTCAATTTAATAAATTTATTTAACGTGAAACTTATATTTATAGTTCTTTATTTAAAATCTATGTGCTTTAGAGAAATTGTTTGTCGTAAGTATAGATAAGCAAATTTCGGAACAATTACTTGTGACAACCTATGAACGCTCGAAAAGGATCGATTCAGCAGATATTGAAATCGACCGACGGATTCCTAATTGACAGTTCGCATGATACAGTTTCAATTTCAACCACGATTTCAACATTCGCTATTCTTATATGTAAGTATTATAAAGCTATAAAATATAATTTTAAAAAATGAATTTTAAATGCATAAATTATTAATATATATATAATCTTTATTTTTATTTTTTTATCAGTATCATTTAAAATTCATGTTTATTAATTTCAAATTAGAAAAATAATATTTCATATATATCAACCTAATACTAATAAAATAATTAAGTATTTACTTAACCTAAATGAATAATAAATGAATAATAAATATTTGTGTTTATTAAAAGATACCAAAAATCTACTGCTATTCAATCGTGCACATTACATCAAAATTTTGTTCTTATTTATTATGTAGCATGTGTACTTCTATGTATGAATGTTGAAAGGATGGAAATTGATAAGATTTCTATTGAGAACATTATATGACATACTGAAATATGTAGAAGTTATAACTATTTTATTATTATTATTATTATTATTATTATTATTATTATTATTTTTTTTTTTACAATATATTAAGAAATATTTGAAATTTTGAAAAAGAAAGAGAAAGATTCATTCTTCTTTATGTAGAAATATCGTAATAATATTATTATTTTTAATCGTAATAATGTTATCATTTATAGATATTATTATATGACAATATTTATATGATCATGATACAGCACATTTATAAGCAGAATATTATAATTATGAAATGGATGATTTCTATTTTTTCTAGAAAATAACAATTATTTGTAAACATGACAATTATTTGAAATTAATGGAATAGAGGTAAATCCGGTAACATAAATAAAAGATTTTCCGATTTCGTATATGATTAAATATGTTACAATAATGATCATGATTATTCGAAGAAACTTAAATAAATTTTGTCAATCTAATTTCCCAAGTCAAATCGTGGTATCGTGTTAAGTCTTTCAGAAAATTTTAAGGTAAAAGTTCTTCACTTTCCAATTTATTATCACTGGTCATATTTTAACTATTATAGTGTGAAAGCAGTTGGTTAAAACGTGATAGGTTGAAATTTTCGTGGTAACGTAGTGGGTTTCGCGAGAAGGATTATCGAAACAAGTGTCCTTACCGGATATTCCTCATTTATATGGATATCTCTGTCTATAATTTTGAAACATTATCTCTTCTCTTTCTGGACATAAATATATCGAGAGAAATATGTTTTCGAGAATTATGATTTTCCAAAATATATACAATTATAATTTATATTTCATTTTTATTTTAAAGGTTTATAAAATTTATATTTAAGTCTTAATGAAATAGAATAAATAATATTTACATTCCTATATAACATTAAATTTCTATATATATAATTTCATAAGTTTTTATTATCCTTGTAGCAAACATATTTCTTTGAGTGCAAAGAGCTGTATACATATAATATGAAGAAAAGAAAGAAATTGAAGTATGAAGTATGAAGTTGTCGAACTTTCTCCAAAAGAGTAAGAGAATGAAGTAAGAGAGTAAGAGAAATGGTGAAAAAAGTAATGAATGAAAGAGAGAGAAAGACCCGTATCCTAAGCATGCTGTGAGGTGGTGCGAGGTGGTGCAGCATTCTGTCTGTTAGAGGGATAGGAGGCGCGGCGCAGCGTGGCGTGGCGTGCGCGCGCTTCTTACCCCCTGTAGGTTGGTGGCACCCCTACCTCGCGAGGGCCGTTTGTTCGGTTCGGTTCGAGTTTACAACCCTGCTGGGCCGCAAAATTTACGGTGCCCTCTTAAAAGCGATCCAAACACGTACCGGTCCATTTGGACTATCTTCCAGGAGTATGGTCCGCTTTGCCACGCGCTTTGCCTGATCGTCTACGATCTTCTGTCTTTTAAACTTACTCACTTCCTATATCTTTACTTTTCGTGAATCTCGTTCACTTTTTAATTTTTTTGCTTTATTATGAAAAATTTTTATGAAGCAATTTTTATATACATAGCAATTGTATATTTATGAAATTTCCTATCGCATTTCTTTTGTTTTCTTACCATCATTTAAAAAAGAATATTTTGATTATATTAATTTTACACAATATAAAAAATATAAAAAAAAAATAAAAATATAATGGCTAAATATAGTTTATAATATTCATAATCATTTATTGAATAAGAAAAATTAATAGATAAATAATGATCGTCATGAAAAATGGAATGTCACATATAAATATGTATTGATTCGCATGATTCGCATAATTCGCATGATGGCCAATGTGTTAAACTCTTGGATAGATAAAATTTATGTAAGAAAATATAAAATATTCGCTCATAGAATAACACAATTTGAAAGCTCGAAGGGCTTGTATTATTCAATCAACTGCAATAAGAGACCTCTCATGTGCAAGCTCGTTGTGTGTAATCAAGTTAAAAATTTATATAAAACACTGCCGGATGATAGTGGGTGGAGTGACATAAACTCGGTTACATAAAACAAATGCGGGGACACGCGAAAGGGAAGCCCCTTTGTATCTCTGGAGCCAGTGTGCCATAGAGGAAACCCTTTTGAGGAATCTTTACATATGCATGGACTACCAATGATACCATAGAAAATCATCACTCCCTACATCATCTATTACGGCTTATTATACTTTTCATATGTCATAACATAATAAAATTTATAAGAATATTGAACTCTTCTCTTTCTCTTATAAAGAAAATACTTGTACTACTTATCTTATATTTACATATTATTAATTGTTAATTATATTTAGTAAGAGATAGATATTTTAATCTCAAGTGCAAGTCTCAACTGCTTTTGAAATGCTGTTGCGCAATATTTATTATTACATTTTCCAAAAATTAAAATATATCAACTGTTTCTGATAAAGAACAATTATTAGTTTTATCTTATTAATTTTATCTACTTAATTAACGCAATTACATTAAAGGAATTGACACAATTATGTTCGAAAAAACTTATCAAAGTCAATTTAACTTTATACCATTTCAAATTAATACCATAACAAATCTATGAAATCAGTATTCGATCAATTATTATCGTTTAATTATAAATTAACTATGCATTTATTTTTACTTTTATGAAAAATGATTTCTTCTGTTCTTCTCTTCGAAGAGATTGAACTTTTTCCGTATAATATCAATTGGGTTTGAATTTAAAATCATAACCGACTAGCGGTTAACTTAAAGAAAGAGTAAATTTTTATAAAAGTAAAAACAAAATACAAAAAAAAAAAAAGGCAAGGATGATTTATTACCATTGTGAACGTTTTCGAATTTTTTGAAGTATTTCGAAAAGTTTCCCGCTCGCCTAACTGCGGTAACCGGCGAAACGACTCTTGGCTTACCGCATGTGTCGTAAAAGTTTTTAGGTTCCCAAAAATTTGTGGAAATTCAGGGAAACGGAGATGAAAAAAAGAAAAAGCAATGGCGAGATAAGAGGCACGGTAGCTGTTTTGTAACCTTCTATAAAAGTTATAGGATGGGACTCGAACCGCTGTAACATTTCAAAGATTTTGGCATCACTAATGATTTATGATTCTTTTCTGATCCAACTTTCTGACCCTAGTTTCTCTATTGTTTCTTCAGTTTTTTCTTTAATAATATTTTTATTACAAATATTTTTCTAAATCTATTATTTAATTTGGATATTAGATTTGTCATTTTTCAATTTGACTAATCTTTTGGTTAATCAATCAGCTTTTAATTTAATTACATATAAAAAGACATTGATAACTAAAATATACTTCAAATGTGTAACATATCTGTTGTACAATGAAGATCAAGAACTCAGTGTAAGGAAATATATATTTGTAAAAACTGAGTGGTAAGAATGTATCTTGTGCATATGTCTTTGAGAATATGATAGCGAACTAAACTGGTTTAAACTCGTTAAAACTCATTGGCCTGAGTCATAAAAGATCAGAGAATCGTCTTGTGTCGTGCTTAAAGTTCAGTGCTTAAAGTTAGTGTTGAGAATCGTAATTTTAAAAAATTGTTAAGAATATTTTATTTATTTATTTTAAAACTTGCATGTGCGTAGCATTAATTTCCAATTATACATAATTCATATGAATATAGTGATATTTATATTTATACTGGTACAGGGTCAATCTCATTATCTTAATATTTGCCATTTAAAACTGCTTCCACGAAACATTCGTTTATCTTTCTTTTATCCGTGTTATCTTTTTTTTTTTTTTTTTTTTATTTCTTCGCTATATTTCGCAGTTGGAAAAAAGTATAATCGAAGTGTATATAAAGATTAAAATTCAATTTCAAATGGATAATTGATTAATTGGATAATTATTATGAATCACTTTATATGTTGAATTAATATATATGTACTTTATATAAGTTTTGTTCAAGCAGTTATTAAAAATTATAAGAATTAAGACATTATAATCGACAATTTTTCGAAGAGAAAAATAATATTTGTGATAAACTTTTATTATTCGAGTATTCGATAATTATTATTCAATATATTTTTTAGAATGGAAATAAAAATCGATGAGAATATTTTTGAGAAAGTGCTTCGAAAGAAATTACCGAACGAGATCGTTCAAATTCTGGAAATTAAACGTCACTGTATGTCAGAGAAAGGATTAAATTTCCTCAGTGATTTATATATAATGCATGTGAGATATACGATTATTTCTAACAATAAGAAAAATGAAACAAAATCGGAACGTTCGATCAATTTTATTATTAAATCCGAACCTCTGAACGGATTGTCGTGCGAGATCGCTCGCCAACAAAATGTATTCCAGATCGAATTGAAAGTTTTACAAGATATTCTGCCGAGAATAAAGGAATTTATCTCTCATCAAATTGGACCGAATTTATTATACTCTTCTGATAATCCTCCACTTCTCATTATGGAGAATTTAAAAGACAGAGGATTTATCATGAAAAATCGTCAAAAAGGATTATCACGTGAACATTGTTCTTTACTTATAAAACAAATTGCGAGATTACACGCTGGATCTGTTGCAATTTTTGAAAAGGTAGGTAGCCACATCGAAGATTATATTTTAAATAGGAATATTTATCGATATTTTAATTTTTAAATTTACGAAACTCGAATCTAAAACTTTTTAGATTCGTATTATTTTCCAATTGTAAATTTGTTTTTAATATTTAAAAACTTTACGAGTGTTTAATCAATATTAATAAAGATTGATCTTACAGGATCCAGAATTAATTAAATTTTTCGAAGATGGTGGCATCGTGTCGGTTAAATGTCCTCAAATTTTTATACGAATGATGGAAGTAAGTCTTTTACGGATAGGTAATCAAATACAAAAATGGTCAGATGAAAAGTGTGCATCTACAGCGAGCAAGTTAATAAAATTAGCAGAAACTATCGGATCACGATGTACGGATGTCTATAATTATGATGAGAATGAATTCTGTGTATTAAATCACGGTGATTGTTGGATCAATAATATGATGTTTAAAGAAAATGAGAAAGGTCAACCTATCGATGTTTTATTGGTAATATTTTTTTTTTTTCCATGTATATTAATAAAGAGTAAGGCGAGAGTATGATTTCTTTCTCTTTTAATTAAATTTATTATATACTTTAGTGGAATCGTATTTTTAATTTTGCTTCTTCATGATTGTACAATATAATATTTTTCAGGTTGATTATCAAATGTCTGTTTATACATCTCCAGCTATCGATTTATTATACTTTTTGAATATTTGTCCAGAAATTGATATAAAATACGATAACGACGATTATTTCCTCGGGATATATTTGGACACTTTAGAGGAAACTATGAAAAATATCGATTGCAAAAGAAAATCACCGACGATGAGAGAATTAAAAGCAGCGTTGTATAAAAGAAAAATATACGCTGTTTTTGCTGGAATCGTGCTTAATTTACGAATGCTGGCAAATAAAGAAGATACCGAGGATTTTGACGATTTATTTGGCAAGTTAGGTGAAACTAAAATGAATGTTTTCAAAAGTCCAGACGCGGTGAAATTAGCTCAAAAAATGATTCCAATCATGAACGAAAGAGGTTACTTCGATTGAAAAAACGTATTTGAAATAATATTAAGACAAAAGAAAATTTCTAAAATTTTAATTCTCTATAAATAAAATTTTTTTAAATAATAAAATTTTAACTGATACAAACATGACAATGTTTGAGATAAATATGAAATTTAGAGATCAATAAATATTATTTTTATTTATAATAATTTTTAATACTTATTTATTTTAATTTGATTACATTATCATATTTTACAAAAACATTTCCTTATTTAATTTAACGTCACTAGTCATTCCGCCGAATAACACCTTAATCTTTTAATTCTTTTTATCTCATCTATGATCGCAAATTATTTAAACGTTACAAAAGAAGCAAAAAAAAAAAAAAAAAAATTTAGAAAAACAAAAAATTGAAAATTATAATAGAAAATCATATTATAAAATCTTATTAATATTTTTCATTTGAAAATTTGCTATTAAATCTCGTATTCCCTCAATGACTTTTTATGTAATTTTAATTTCACAGGTTTTCATTTACTTGATCAACAATTAAGAGGATTTTCGATTGCAGTGAATTGAAGATTTCTCTCCCAGCGAGGAAAAAGTAGCTCGCTTCGACACAGTTTGATGAACTTTCGAAAAGATCCTTGGAGGGCGAACGCTGCGACCTTGGCGGTCAGCCTGTAGGAATTGATTTATAATAGGGCAGTAAAGCAGTAGGCTAAAAGGTCTCTGAAAGCATCGTCTCGGTAACCTACATCGTGAACAGAGAAATTGTTGTGGCAAGCCTCGATGGGGTGGCTTTTGCCTCGAGGTGAATCTTCGCTACCGGGACGACGAAGAGAAACGCGTTGGAACAGAAGTCATCTCCATGAGAAGAGAGAGAGAGAGAGAGAAAGAGAGAGAAAAAGAGAGAGAGTGTGTGTCTTTAGCCGGTACCGAGGTATTTGCACAAGTTTCTCCCTTCCTCGTGCAACTTCTTGTTTGCGCTGACCTGGAAGTTGCACGTAGTCGACTGGGAGTCGAGGGATTCGTAAATCATAGTAGAAAGGCGAATTGGAAAAATTCGGTAGCCGATTCTTGGTTCTCCGCACGAGCTTCGAGAAAGTTAGGGAGAGGAAGAAGAGGCGCGTCGGGGGAGAAAATAAAAGGATAATGGAAAAACTAGACGTCCGTGAAGTATTTGGGTTATTCGGTCGTCAGTGGCAGAAAATTCCGGTAGCGGGCCGCGATTAGTTCCGAATCGGGTAGAAAATGACGTTAAAGTAGAAATTTTGTATCTTCGTTTCGGTATTATCGATCGTTTTCAATGCTTGGAATAAAATCTTTTGCCTCGTAACAAACATTTGTATAAATATTTAACAATAGTGTGTGAATCTTGTTAATTTTTATATTAAGAAACTTTTTTTCTCGATATAAAATGTTAGGTGAAGAGAGGATGAAAGAAATTCGGTCGGAATTCTCATAGGGGTTACTAATCCTTCGATTTTTCAGGTGTTCCATTTTACTATGTGTCGGACGACTTATTTGTCAACGTCCTTTACCTGAATAAAGTCTGTTTCTTATTTGTCTCCTAGAAGAAAATGGTCAACCCTGGGAATACTTTACGGAATTCGTCAGGTGCGATTGATGAATTTCAAACTTGACAATTTTTTTTTTTTTTTTTTTTTTTTTTTAGAAGAATGAATCGTGCAACGAGATAAATGTACCTTTCCACCGATACACGAAAGGTTTAATACTATTAAAAGAGAAAGAAAAAAAACATGGGAAGAAGCGGAAAAAATTCTTTTGATAGAATTGAATAACGCGGTTGAAGAAGGAAGAAAATTGATCCCTCGACACCTAATCGTCTAATCCTTCTATTATTATTACGAGACGAGAATTTCTTCATTTTTGCACCTTTTAAAAAAAATTTTGAAATCTTAGAAAATATTTATAAAAATATTTCAATTATATATTATATAATAACTATTTAAAAATATTCAATATTTAATATTTAATATTATCGAATAAATTTATTCGATAAATACGAATTGCATTACATGAACGGCGGATAAAAAAGAGAAACCACTCGTCGATATTACCCCTGGATCTCGAGGCGTATACGGGCGTATTTACGCTGTCGGAACATGCAATTTTGGCGTACGACGTGTAAATACAGACGTGTCATTGGACAACAATATACCCGTGGGATTCAAAGCCTGATCTCTCGGTGTCAACGACCACGGTATTCTGAATTTTTCGATGGTATTCCGTGACGACGACGAGTAAATTATCGCTAAATAGTGTACCGGCGGATGTCAAGATGCGGGCCTCGTTCGGGTGGTCGTGGGATCTTTCATCGACGACCCTTTCGAAATACTAGAATATGGAACAGAATCTTTCTTAATCATCGAACAAAACAAACAGTAGAAATTTTTGGGAGAATTACGTACGATAATGGGTAAGATTAAGTAAATTTAAATAATATGATAAATTTTAATAAAAATATTATAACGCGTTAAAAAATTCAAATGTCATTACAACATTTTTATAAATGTAATTTCAATATTTTCTAGCCAATAATGGAATATTGAAAATCTTCATCAAGCAGAGCAGTTTGTGCTTGATTAAAATTTATGGAGGTTATTGTAAATAATAAGAATCAACCCTGGACCGCTGATATTATCTAGGTAAAATTGGATATTCAATGTTATATTGCCGTGATTCTATGATGTTTTGAAAATCTGTGGCTACAGTAGCATTGAACGTTGACCGAGTATTCGCACCGAATATTTCTCTGGTCTGTCAGTTTGTAAGGTACAGTAAATCATGTAACATGAATTTATGGGTCAATTTCATGCGGCTGGAAGGTATAGCAGGCCATTTGGCGCTTTCTCCTCACTGGCTTCTCTTTCATATTTCTCTATGTTTTCGCGTAAACGATTGAAGCACAACCATTTTTCACAAAAACCTTTCTTAAATTGTTTAGAAACTCTTGTACAAATATCCTTTTTTCAATCTCTGTTGTATCCAGAAATACAATTTCTCATTCAAATCCATGTAACATTCAAGTTACACAAACTTTAAATTTTAATTACTAAAATATTAAATTATTATTCAGTTGATAATTTAAACGAAAAAGATCAACGTTCAACTAATAATAATAAGCTGTAATATAAATGTTAAATGCAAAAAGAAAAATATCGAACTTTTAACTCCACATTGGCAAAAAAAAAAAAAAAGAAATAAACAATAACATTTAAACATTTCAATAACGAATAATGAATGAATATCCAAGTTTTAATTTCTCTTTAGAATTTTCTCGCTACTGTTTTACTAGCACAGAAACTAGTATGTAACATGATTCGTGTTAGGACGTGATTTCTGTGTGAAAGGCAGAAGCCAAATGCGATTATGATCGCTGGGGACATGGACTTAGGGGTGTATTATAATAAAGCGAAAGTGCTGTTACAGAACTCACGTCGAGCGACACGTGGCGGAATCGTGTTCTGATATTGTATCACTGTCTGCCACGTGACTATCACTTTATAAATATATATCTATCGCAGTATATATGTTCAATTCAGGGATAGTCAGAAGGACGTGTTTGAATCGAACTTATCGTTGAACTTCATCTTCGAAATTTCGATATACCCACGCGTGGCAATTTTCATCCACTCCAACTTTTACATTCATCACGGTTAACGATGTTTCGCGGATCGAATAATAATCCCAAACGAAAGTTATTATATACATTTCACGAAGCACAACAGTTGTACTATTTAGTCTTTAAACAAGCGCGCAAAGTGGATCAACACGGTCGAATCGTGAAAACAGGAGAGAGGCAGTCCCAGGCATCGTACATACGTGTCTGTTAGGGGTGTCAATTTGTCCAGTGGAAGTCCAGTTTGTCCCTGTTTGTTTCCAGGAGAGGTTTATTTGCAGCACACAAGGACCACGGACGACAGCGGCGGCTCGAGGGCGATGGGGTGGGTAAGAGGATGAACGTATAGGAGCGTGTGGAAAAGTGGACGCCTCGCGTTATAACGACGTCCTGATGCCAGCTTCTTGTTTCAGGGTGGAGGAAAAAAGGCCGGTAACGAGGCGCGACAACCGTAGAAACAGCTGTTTCACAAAAGCTCCGATTGAGAAACTCTCCGTTCTGCTCCGCTCAGATCCTCTGTGAACGAATAATTCTCCTATTATCGTTTCGACTACTTTTTGGAAGAATTATTCCAGAAGAATTGTGTGCTGCATGTTAATGTCACACGTGAGCGTGATGATCATCGTTATTTTGGGAAATTGCTTAAAAAACTATTTTTTTTTTTTTTAATAAATTTTACGCGTAAGAATTAATATTTTATTAATAAATTTTATAAACGTAAGAATTAATAATTTAATTAATAGTTAATCTTTTGTTATATACAGGATAATGTAAAAAATTCAATACGAAAACATTCGAATCGCCAACTACTTCTCGATATTGACTACATTTCACTGAACAATGGTAAGTGATAAATGGTAATCATACTACGTGGATGAAGCTGTAACTGCATTGGTAACCGCAGAGACAAATGGTTCGATGAAACAGAGTCGAGATCCGTAGGAGAGAAGAGAAAATCGAAGGGAAGGAGACGTAGATGAGAAAGATGGGGTGCTGGAAAGTGTGTATGTTTAACGCACGTGCGACTGTTATGCGTGTATCGGGTGCAAACGGGGCACGAAACCCCAACAACAAGGGTGAGAACATGCCGCGCAGACAAAATGTGACATCCGGACTGATCAATTCCCAAGATTTCCGAATACATCGTCCAACCCATTTGCCCTTCGCCATACATTTATTATTATTATTATTATTTATTTATAATTATTTATTATATTTCATTGAAAACTTGATACAAATCCTTGTTATTAAATTTTTAGATGCAAATTTTAATTCATATATGCACTTGTATATGGACTTCGACATTTCAATTATATCAATACGTGCATATAATTCAAAAAAAAAAAAAAAAAGAAAAGAAAAGAGGAAAGAACGTTCAATCTCTTGGAAAAGTCGCAAAACGAAGAGAAAAAGATCGCCAATAAAAATTGCGAGAAAGAAGGAAAAGGAGGAGCGAACGAAGAGGAGAAAGAAAGAAAGAAGGAAAGAAGGAAGGTGTTCCTTGCAGATGGTTTCTATGGTGTTGTTTTCGTCGAGGAGAGGACAGGGCAGAGAGTTTCACCGCGATTGCTGTAACAGCATCGCCGTGATGAGAGACGCGCGTATCGGTAATGTAACCAATCACCGAGGTGAATCCTGTCTGGCTATAAAGCTCCGGTACCGGGTCGGTGTTGGGTCGTGTACCCTCGCCGTTAGTTCAGCTACACCCGGGTACGAGTTGGTTTAGCTTCGGCTCCCCGTAACGAGGAGTTTAATGACATCGTCGGCGTCCACGTTGGACGCGTGAATGTCAGGAGAAGTTTCTCCCTTTATTTTGATGTATCTACGTCTACCGATGTACAAAATTTCTCTTCTCTACGCTGATTATTATTTTTCTTCATTATTAGAGAGGATTTTCTTTTATCTTTTTTTACTTTCCTTTATTATTAACAATTTCACTTTAATGCTTCGCTATACACAAGAAAAGAATTTCTTTTCTTTCTTCTTCTTTATCGCGGATTAGATGGATAATTCTTCTCAATAATATGTTTTTACTTTTTCTAAATGTCTAAGTAAAAGCATTCGTTTTCACAAGTTCTAAGCTTCGAAAAAGATACATTTTATGAGGAGTGTGATTCACGACGAAACTTTCATTGTCGCAAATCGGCTAGAAATGCTTCGACGGTATTAATTTGAAAAAAAAAAAAAAAAAAAAAAAAAGAGACACGTGCCCGGCGTAGAAACGTTTCGGTCCCCCGTGGTTAAAACAGTAAAAAGATGGACGAGAGACACGCGGCTCTTACATCGGTTAAAATAGGTAGACAAACCGAGTACCACGGTTGGAGGATACGAGCTAATGGTGCGTGCTTGTCGAAGTCGTTAGTGTCCAACACACGGTACCCCTTATTTTTGTATTAAAAACACTCCCACCCGGCTTACTTTCCTTTATCACGGCCCGACGAACGAACGATAATCCTGTTAATTGCTGTGGAAAAAGCAGTAACGATCGAGAAATTACGATAATTTTAACGTTAATGTAAGAGTTATATAAGTATACAAGTATATAAGTATTATTGACATTCGAATAAAGGACCGCTGATAAAAAATTTAGTTGGTCTTACAAACTTCTTAACTAAGCTTGTCTTAGAGCCAAATATTCATTTTCTTAGGTTACTTTTACGATCGTCCGCTTGACCACTTTTTAATAACCGGAACACTTTAATGGGAATTTTAAAACCTATTTCGAACGACTTTTTAATTTAAAATAAGCGTGAAACGAGTATTTATATTTCTCTTCTATAACCTCTCTGAAGAATCTCTGGTCTATTTTAAATTATTTTTATGGAATGGAGTTTAAATTTTTACAAAACATTTCCACGTCGTAATGAAAACATTTTAATATCCCACTCGTATTTAAAATAAATGTAAAATAAATAATATTATAATTTTAAATATTGAAATATGAAAAAGATTGCCATAAATTTTTCTATATCGCGAAACGTTTTTTTCTTTTTCACGAAAATGAAAAAAACATTTATAGATTTACCAAGAATTTGGAGTGATAAAACGTAACAATGTAATCTTTCAACATTTACGACTTGTTTTCTATGACTTTCTCAGTCATTTACGAGCTATTTTAAGCAATCCCATAAGCAGCAATAAATCAGCTCATTGGACCAGTTGCTTCTAACGTGGCAGGAAATCGATCGTAAAATTTGATCCAAGATTCGAAAATGACGGTCATGTTCGCGGAAGCCGTCCGAACGAAGCGTGTGTCACGAAATTGGTGTAAAAATTTTAATAGGTGCAGCGAAATATTCGTAATTCTGGATAGAACGATACAATTTCCAGCCTGCCTAATTGCATGGTGCGTGTACTGCTCGTTACGCGGATAATATATTCGTACGGTAGCCCTTATTTGTCGGTAAAGAGAGAAATATAAAAAAAGAGAAAAAGAAAAAGCGACGGGGCGTCTCAGCCGTGTATCATCCCGCAGAGCTACAGTATAAAAGGGGGACGGAAGGAGGGTTGACAAAGGGAGGGTGGTTGTTAAGTTGTCCAACAGATGCCTCGCCACGTGAATCCGTCGTCTAAATACCCAACTTCCTCGTTCGCACATATTCCTATATTTCACTCGTATTTCGAAATTTAATTCCACTTCGTCCTGCCTTCTAATCAGAATGGGTGAAACAAAAAACTGACCCGATCGAACGATACCAATCATTTCGATTCTTTGAAAAGTTACACCATCAATTCTCCTCATCCATCATTAGAATTAAGAATCTTGAGAAGATTACGAACGATACAATATACGTGAAATCAATTCGATCGATCACCTCGATGCTAATCATTTTGAATTCTGAAAAGTCTGAAATTTTATTTTTATACGATTTTTTTTAAAAAAGAAAACAGAGTTCGTCAATTTGCCTTCTGACCGAATAAAAAAATGCTCCCATCCAACGGTTAACATTTACTCGTCAATTACGCATAGGCAGTCCCTCCCCCTCCGAGTGGCGAATTGGTGGAAATTGGTGTACAGGCGAGTGATGACAGTAAGCGTGAAAAAGGTGGAAAGAGACGTTCGGTAAGTCCGGAAAGTCACGTACGATCGACTCGCCGAAAATGATATTCTCGGCGTGTGGAAAGAACGGCTCGCTTCAAAGGCTCGTTAGCGATGGGTTTCCCCGATGGGGGTTGTTGTCGGACGGGGGCAGGTGAAAAAGTTCCATGCAGCCGGTGTAAAAGTCCGTTTGTTACAGATCGGTCAAAGGCTGAACAGATTTGTGTTACGTATAATGGGGCGTGCGCCCGCGCCCCCATTCTTACCACCCTCCCCTCCATTCCCACCCTCTTGCGAAGCGTGCCTGCCTATCCTATAATGGAAAACGTAAAGGATCGCGCCATCAAGTTTTTAACGCTATCCTGGAAACGGACGTCTTAATAAACGGAACCAGGTGAGGAGCACTCTTTGTGCTCCTACTCTTTCACAACTATTCACAACTATTTCCACGATCGATACTGAATTCAAGTGTCTGTCTACTTTACAAATTTACATTATTACCTTATTTCCAAGAAAATACTATCGCCTATTATTTTTATTTCGCCGTTCGTTCGTTCGAGCAAGCAAATAGATATCTCTTGATCAAAGAAATAATTGAATAATCTGAATTGTAATAGCAATGGTATTCTTATGTTTCTAACGATTATGCTATTACGTAACGAGACTGCCAATGTCCAAATGTTTCTCCATACGCGGACGATGTTCGATGCTTGTAAAGAATTTTCCATTAAATTCGTCGTTTGCCCGGTGATATCTGTGTGTGCGAAGGTAGCAAGGTGGCGGAGTGTCCACCCTGTGCTCTATTTAGCGCTTGTTAGCGTCGACAATACGGTGCAGATCCCCCTAACGAGGCCGATGCTTGCATTATGCGGCGAGGGTGTAAGCTCGCCGCGTGGTCTCCGCGAGAAATGCGAGCGCCAACACCGATCGTTGTTGAAATCGTTATTTCTCCGAAAGCTTTCTCCAAAAATTCCATTTCAATGGACGCTATTATTCCCCCCTCTCCTTATTTCAAAGGAAACGTTTTCATTTCGCGATTTTTCTTCCTTCGGTATTTTTCAGAAATTCAGGTGTATGTGATTTCACAAAATTTTAAATTACGATAATTAAAAGAAGAAGAAGAAGAAGAGGAAAAGGAAAATAATGTGCGAACAAATTGAACGACGTGTCACGTTTCGAAACTGGCTTGTACAAACTAATTAGCTTCTCTGTGGCAAAGATCAACGAAAAGATCATCGTTTCTTCTTTTTTCCTCTGTATCCAACTCGTGGTTTCTTCTTTCTTGTCACGTTCTGAGAAGACCACCATCGAGAATACTTTGATTTATTATTTCTGCGAGAAAATTTTAATCGAGAATATTATTAATATTCGTATAAAAAGTGAGTGCAATTTATATTTGAAATTGGAAAATTTTTGGTGCAACAATTTTGGTTTGCAATGGAATCTATTGGATCTAATAATAGGAAAAAGGATTAGCCTAGGAAGAGTTAGGGAAACTTTAAAAAGGGAAAGTGTGGCCATACGTTCCTCCGAGAAGGATTAACCTCCTTGACGTATAATCGGGTGGCAGGAAGGCTATTTGTAAAAACTTGTGTCGAAGCAGGCGTTTCGTTTTTCGTGCAAGGTGGAAAATGTCGTCCCGGTTACAGCTCTACAGCTCGTAGATCTGAGGGATTTGTCAAGTTGCCGACAAGATGTGAAGCGTATTTGAGAAGCGGTTGTTATATATTGGTTCCGGTTCAGCTTATTTTATTTTCACGGGATAAGCTGGATCTCGTTAAACAATGAGAGTTGAACACTTTTTTTGTGTTTCAAACCACAATACTTTCAAATACTAATAATAATCCTATGATAAAAGAAGATTAATAAAACAAGATATCTGCAAGTTATAATACGCTCCTTGGATGGTTTCCCTCGAAACTTATCGTGATCTTTCCGGAACAAATTTCCGGTAAGAAGAAGAAGAAGAAGAAGAAGAAGAAGAAGCATCACGCTGAGCAAAATCACCAGGATCTGTCGAGCATTGTCATTGAATTCTTACGACGTTCACGTGTCCGTTTCTGGTGAAACGATCAATCCTCTTCTGACATCTCTGACAATTAGCCGATGCTTCCAATTCCAATACTCCGTTCTCACTTTTCCTTCGATTGTAAAAAATAAATCGCGCAAACTTATATAGAAAAATATACGAAAAGGAAAAAATTTTGGAAATTTGTTTAAAAAATTCTCTTCTGTTTATCGTTCGCTTCTCTTGATTATTTTTCGACTCTTTTTTTTATTTTTGCGAATTTAACGTTAAAAACTACTTGTTTTTAACGATTTAACAATAGCGAGTCGACGTAGGAAGGGATCGAAAAGAGAAAGAAAAAAGAAAAGAAAGAAAAGAAAAAAGCTCGTGCAAAGCGCGTGTCAAGTGCGATAATCGAACTGTCGGCGGGAAGAGGCGTTCCTACCTCGCCTAGTCGTCCATTCTGCGCGATCCTGCTGCGCCAAGAGTTCTAAAGGACCAAGATTGCTGCTCGTAAACCAACCGAGAAAATGGTCAACCTTTGGACCTCGTGTTATACGCAATTTCAGGGTACATGAGCGGTCTTGCGCCAACCTAAGTACAATGACCATCCTAAACGTTTCTGCGCCAGTTGCGTTCCTGTTCCTTCCTTCGTCCCGCTGAGAGACCAACTGAGAGAAGACAAGGTCATGAATCTTTACCCCCGTGTTCTCTTATACCTACCGGTAAAGTTTCACAGTTCGTGGAAATGATAATGAAAAAAAAAAAAAAAAGAAAAAAAAAAAAGAAAAGAAAAAGAAAAAGAAAAAAAATGTCATTGACGATGAGAAAAAGAAAAAAATTACGCGAAAAAAGAAGTTTTTACTAGAGAATGAGAAGAATGAGAACGAGGAAGAGAGCAGTTCGAGAAATTGGAATACATTGAATTCATTCGGGTTCACCGAATACATAACAATATTTCGAGAAACGCTGCCAATTGTATAAGGGGATCTTCCCAGGGAGGAGATTCTTCGTCGATTCAAAGGCAATCACACGGTATTCATAGCGGACTCGCATGCAAATCACGCTTAGAAAACCCTCTTTTTCCCTTGTCGTCCCTCCACGGATCATTCGATGATCCATCATTTCGAGAAGCTAATTTTAAAAACTCATCCCCCTCGAAACTACACCGCTAATTTTACTTTTCGCATTTTTCGATCCAATTTTTTGATATTTCCAAATTTTTTGATATTTCTACGTGCGATTTTTTTTTTTTTTTCTTATTTTGCAAACGAAGATAAAGGAAAATTTTAATATTTCTCGATGCAAAAATCTCAGCTATCTCGTGTATTAGATATAGAAGAAGAAATCGTGGTTATCCTAGGAATCGATCGGTGTTCTAATTGCGTTTCAAAGCTGGTATCGGAGGACTCGACTGGGTTACTTTTGCCTACTGGAATTAATCAACGGCGGATCTTCAAAGATCCAGAGTAGCTGCCCCCTCGAAGTAGTTTGTTTATCGTCGGCGTGGCGGTTGTGCGGCCTGCCTCGATCATTTCCTTTTTTCTTGTCAAGAATTCATCCGATCCAATAGCGCTCCCCGAGTTTCCTAGAAGCTTCTCGCCTCTCTGATCGGTCTACCAACTGACACGCACCAGCCCTCCTCTTCCGGAGGAGCTTTGTCGTGTTTTTTCCCTCCAAACTTCCAAGTATTTTCGTTTAGTTTTAAATCCTACGTTTCATCACGCGCTTCTTCTCTTAATAAATCTCGAACATTATCACATATACATATATATAAAACTATATTTAATAATTACAGTTA